TGGCTGGCTGGCTGCTGAGCCCTCAAAATGATCATGTCCCAGAGATGACTCCTTGCTTATCGTCTCCCTGAATGTGGTCCTGCATCCACGTTCCCCATTCCAGAAACAACAGCACTGCCATCTACCCAGTTTTGCATCCCTCCCACACTCCACACCTAATTGGCCAGAATATGACCTCCATGCGCTTACATTCCTCATGGTTGCTGCTGAGGCTCTGGAGACTAACCCAGTGCCTGATACACTGTACGTTTTCAGGAAATAATGAATGAAGACTAATCCATTACCAAGTCTTTTGGTGCCACCTTGAATCTATCCACTTTTCCCAACTGCCAGTCCAAAAGACCAAGCATCTTCCAAGCCAACGGGTGTCCCTGCTTCTACCTTGTCTGTTTTCCACACTGCTGCCATGATAATAGTTTGCTGAAGGAAAATGTTCTCACCTAACCTCCCTCCTTCAAACCCTTTCCTGCTGCCCTGTTAGCATTCAGCTGTCAGGCCCCACAGCCCCAGCCTGACTGACGTGATGCTCTGCGCTGTAACCTGCTCCTCTCCCCGCCTTCGCTCCAGTCCCCCGGTCTTCTGTCGGCTCCTTGAGCACCCGCAAGGTGTCTCTTACCTCTTACCCTGCACGCATTCTGTGACTTCTGCCTATAACCTTCTTCCCCTCCCTCCGTGTGGTTGGCTTCCGTTCATCTTCCATTTCACTGAAAGGTTGCCCCCTCAGAGAGAATATCTTGGATCTCTTCAGCCGGAGTGTGTTTCTTTGCATTAAGCTTCTGTAGCTGACTGAGTATGTTTAGGGCCTCTGTTACCCACGCCGTCGTGTCTGAAAGCTCAGAGTCAGGGACCTTGTCCGCCATGTTCATCTCTGTATCCCCAGTACCTAGCACAGTGCTCTGTACCTGTTCATGTCCTATTAAGAAAGCTGGAGCTTGGGGCATCAGGAAATAGGTAAGGCCCTCCCTTGCAAACCTATAGGCAAGAAGTTGGCAGATCGTCTCCAAGGTTTTGTTTGATAGATTGAAATCTAATTAAATGCATCCCTGTTTTCCTGTTGGTCATGTTTTCTCTGTTTTTTTTTTTTTTATTATTTTTTAAATGTCATATTTTCTCTTTGTTTTTCATTATTTTTTAAATGGTTATTTTGAGAGAGAGAGGAGAGAGCATGAGCAGAGGAGGGGAGGAGAGAGAGAGAGAGGGAGGGACAGAGAATCCCAAGCAGGCTCCACACTGTCAGCCCAGAGCCCGACAGGGGGCTTGGGCTCATGAACCATGAAATCCAAATTCAAGAATCAGACACTTAAGCAACTGAGCCACCCAGGCACCTCTGTCATGTTTTCTTTTCGAATCCAACTCCAATGTCAACATCCCCTGTGACACCTTCCTCTTCTTTCCCGGACTGAGTTAGTTCCTCTCTTTGCTCCCCAGTCAGCTCCACGTTGTTAAAGAGAGAGCAGATGGGCATGCTTTGTCAATGTTTATTATAGACATGTGTAGTCAAGAAACTAGCTCTGAGGGGCGCCTGGGTGGCTCAGGTATTTAAGCGTCCGACTTCAGCCTGGGTTATGATCTTGCCACTCCTCAGTTCGAGCCCTGCGTCGCGCTCTGTGCTGACAGCTCAGGGCCTGGAGCCTGCTTCAGATTCTGTGTCTCCCTTTCTCTCTGCCCCTCCCCCACTCACGCTCTGTCTCTCTCCCTCTCTCAAAAATAAATAAAGATTAAAACAAACAAACAAACAAAAAAAACCCATAACTAACTCTGAAGGTCTACGTGGAAGACTTTTCTGCAGGGTGAGATAGTTACGTTACCTTATTAACCAACGTTTGGGGGTAGCTGTTTTTACCGACTAGTTTCAATCTTGTGTTCAAGTCTTAAGGACATTGAGACAGATAATCCAACTTAAAAATGGGCAAAGGACCCAAATAGATCTTTCTCTAAGGAAGAGACGCAAATAGGCAATAAACACATGAAAGATGGCCAACACCGTTAGCCATCAGGGAGATGCAAACCAAAACTACGGTAAGATACCACTTCTCCCCCACTAGAAGGGCTGTCATAAGAAAACAGACAATAACAAGTGCTGGTAAGAACAGAGAGATCAGAAGGCTCGTACATTGTTGGGAGGAATGTAAAATGACGTGGCCATCTTGGAAAACATTCTGACAGTTCCTCAGAAGGTCAAACATGGTTACCATACGACCTAGCAATTCCACTCTTAGGTCCCTACCCCAGAGAAATCAAAACATGTGTCCGGGCAAAAACTTGTACATCAGTGTTCACAGCAGCGTTATTCGTAATAGGCAAAATGGAGTAACAACCCAAATGTCCGTCCCCCGCTGAATGGATGAACACAGGCGGTCTGTCCATGCAATAGAAGAGAATTCAGCCGTAGAAAGGAGCGAAGTCCTAGTACATGCCGCAGCATGGATGTGCCTTTTGCATATTAATTGAAAGATGCCCGGCTCCAAAGATCGCATAGCATACGATCACGTTTATGCGAAGTGTCCAAAATAGGCAAATCCAGAGACAGAAAGTAGATTGGTGGTTATCAGGGGATAGAAGGAGGGGGGAGTTGGAACTATTAATGGCTGTGGGCTTTTGTTTTTGTTTTTGGAGGGAGGGAAATGTTTTGGAATTAGTGGTGATGGTCACGTAACAGCGAATACTAAAAACTACTGCTTTATTATGTCTATTATATCCATTTTTTTAAATGCTAAACAAAGATTCTGAAGGACATCGTTGTGTGTGGACTAACACGTGTAACACTTGATGTTCTGTAGTCTATGCTTTCCTGTTTGGGGATTGTTAGTAACGTGCAGACTGGGTCAAGACTGTGGTATCTTGGGTGACTGGGTGGCTCAGCCGTTAAGCGTCTGACTCTTGATTTCAGTTCAGGTCATGATCTCACGGTTTGTGAGATCGAGCCGCACATCAGGCTCTGCGCTGACAGTGTGGAGCCTGCTTGGGATTCTCTTTCTCTCTCTCTCTCTCTCTCTCTGTCCCTCTCGCCCCCTCAAAATAAGTCAGTGAACCTAAAAATTTTTTTTTCATGAAAAAAAAAAGATTGTAGCATCCCTTGCAGAATTGCTAGTAATACCCATATCAGATCATAACAGGTGACTGTATTATTTCTCAGTCAGAGCTCTGAAAGCATTGCCACGGCTGCCTCCCATGCTGTCCTCTACTGTAACATACCTGCTGACAATAGATTGAGAATTTAAAAGAGAAAAGAGTGGGTATTTTTCATCACTCTACGTGCCTAAGACAGTGCTTGCAATATCATAAGTTGTAAGTAAATGTTTCACTTGCAGGGGGACTAACCAGGGGAAAATCTTGTCCCCATGGGACATGTGGCAATGTCTAGAGACACTCGCCTGCCACACCCGGAGAGGTAAGCCACACGCTCCTGGAGCACGTAGGTAGAAGCCAGGGGTACTCGCCAGTGCCTGGGATGCACAGGCCAGCCTCCAGCAGCGAAGATATATGTGGCCCACAGTGTCCGTCACATAGAGGTCGAAAAACCCAGTTCTGAATGGTTGAGCGAGTGACTTATAGATCCCCCAAATTAACTCCACCAGAAGATTAAAAAAAAAAAAGTCCCCTTGAAGAAAAATTAAACAATAAAAGCATCCTTGGGTTCGGTGTTCTCGGTTAATGAAGTGTCCCAGACCAGATCTTTGTGGCTCTTAACGGAAGAACCAGGCTGGTGGGAGAGGCAGACCACGAGGGAAAACCACAAGGCTGTGTAACTTGCCGACCTTGACTTAGGTCTTATTAACTCGCATAGAATTCAGTCGTGCCACCGAAAGCAGGTGGCAAAGTGTGCATTCCTTGTCTGTTAAAGAGCCCAGGAAACATTTACGTTGTGTTTAATATGCGTGAGGAAACCATCCCAGCCTCCACAGAATACTTGGAGTATTCTTTTCTTCCAGAAGCTGATAGAAGCCCGGTCTGACAGTAGGTCAGTAGGCAGGTAAATGTGGGCGAGCTTCATTCGTGGCCCTGAGTGCCGAGGGCCGCTTGATGGCTGGGCTCGCTCTTTCAGGTCTCTGCATTGTGGGTCGCCAAGTTCCAGCCCGTGGGCCAAGGCCGGTGGCCCTCTGATTTTACATGACCGGTGATCTGAGAATCCTTTTCATCTTTTTAAATGGTTAAAGCTAAACCAAAGGAAGAATACTATTCCACAGCACGAAAAAAAGGGTATTCAAGTTTTGGTGTCCATAAAGAAAGTCTCAAACCCAGTTACGTGCACCTGTTTGTGATTGCCTAATGTGGTCCACCTGGCTGCTTCTGTGCCTGGACAGAGACCGTGTGCCTGTATTTATGGCTGAGCCTAGAATATTTACCTTCTGACCCCTTATGAGACCCTTATTTGCTGACCCCCACTCCACAGTTAAGGGGTTTAGCAAATGGTGTTTCCGGGAGGCAGTATGGCTCTGCTGGGGACGTGACTGTCCCCCACTGGGCTGGAGTTTCCTCCTCTGTGATGTGAGAGGGCTTCACCGAAGGGTCCCTGGAGCCCTTCCAGCTCCTAACTGTCTGTGGTGTGTGCAGATTCCAGTTTGTCTAGTGGCTCCCACGTGGCCAGTGAGGTCAGTGCGGCATTCCTATCTGGGACAGAGCCGCGGGGCCGAGGACTCACATTACCACCCTCGGCACTGAACCAGACGGAGACCTGGATCGCCACGGAGTCTATACGGAGCGGAGCGGAAAATTGGCACTCTGCGGCGTTCGGAGACAAACCCTTGGCCCCTTTCACGTGCCCTAGTTTTATAGATTATGTAACCCACTTCTTTTAACTCCCGAGAAGAACGAAATGGACAGCAAAATGGCTGGCAAGGGGAGGTAGCAGAGACAGGCAACCTGAAATGAACGTTTTCAGCATCGAATTTAGCCCTTACAGCAGGTTTACCGAAACTCACCAGGTACCTGTCATCTCACCTGTTCCTTTACTAGCAGGAAAGAGTGTCTGTTGCCCCTTCTGTTTTCCCAGTACTAACATGGGGCTCTTTATCCACAGCACCAAGGATCATGGGCTCTTCACGTCCACACTGCAGCCTGGGCTCTGTCGCTACGGAGCGAAGCTGGCCTGCTGCTACGGCTGGAGAAGGACCAGCGAGGGAGCCTGTGAAGGTAATTTTATAAAAACTCACACCACCCTGTGCTCGTGTATGAGGCCAGCGTCCTTAGGTTTTTACCTGTGACACCATAAACCGTCACCAGATTGTCAGCAGGCTCCCCAGCAGAGGGACATCAATAGCTGTCTGTACCCAAGGTCCGGGTGCCTGTGAGATGTCTTCCCGTTCAAAACGTGGCTGACACCCTCACGCTAGACAGGATTTGCTTTAGGAGAGCAATCTTGTAAGTTACTTCTGTTGTTCTCAAATAGGCCGATATACTTCCTTCTGATTATTCTTTTTCCAGCTGATTTTGAATGAAATCTACTTTTTAATTATGAATCACCCAACCAGTAGGCTCCAGTTACAAACCAGAAAGTAGCCATTTACTTTATGGTTCTGTTACATTTTTAAAGTCCGTTATGCCCCTTTCTACCTGGTTTCAAGAGATATGTGCATATGGACAAACATTTTAAGTGTTTTTCTGATTCTTTGGCCTGGACTTCAGTCTAAGGAGCCATGATTTGCCTTGGATATGGTTTCTCAGACCCCGTGTTAGGAGCTCCCAAGGGAGGCCCCTGACCATTTTCAGGAGGGCTAGGGAGGACGAGGATTTGCGTACTTTTGTGTCACTTTTTTTTTATAAGTTGTTTTTATGTTTGTTTATTTTTGAGAGAGAGACAGACAGACAGAGCCTGAGCAGAGGGAAGGGCAGAGAGCAGGACGCAGAATCCAAAGCATGCTCCAGGCTCTGGGCTCGAACCCACGAACCACGAGATCATGACCTAAGCCGAAGTCGGACGCTTAACCAACTGGGCCCCCCAGGCGCCCCCTCTTTGCTCTGTCTGACTGTCTGTGATACCCCACAGTCGCAGGGAAGAGGAATCCAACTGACAGTGCTTCTAGCTGACTGTCCGACCTGGGGTACATTCCTTCAGGGCAGGACTCTGGTCTCACGGTCCCCATGTCCCTAGTTGGTGGCATATACCTGAACCCAAATCCCTTAATCTGTGCAGTAGGATAAACACACAGCTGCATGTCCCATACACTTTAGGTGTTGGTGTGCATTGAGCTGGATTATAAACGGTAAGGCACAAAAATCGTAGCTTATTTTTTTTTTTAAACAGTCCTGCCTTCTTTCTATCTCTGCCCCAAACTGCCCCTCTCTAGCTTGTTAAGAAATAACTGGCGGGGCGCCTGGGTGGCTCAGTCAGTTAAGTGTCCGACTTCGGCTCAGGTCATGATCTCGCGGTTCGTGGGTTCGAGCCCCGCGTCGGGCTCTGAGCTGACAGCGAGCTCAGAGCCTGGCACCTGTTTCAGATTCTGTGTCTCCCTCTCTCTCTGACCCTCCCCTGTTCATACTCTCTCTCTCTCCCTCTCTCTCCCTCTCTCAGAAATAAATAAAAACATTAAAAAATTAAAAAAAAAATAACTGGATAGAGCACAGGTGAAGACAGAACTTGAGAATAACTGAGATCATGAAACACTGGAAGGCACCACCATCAGCCTCCTGGTGACCAGATGACAAGAGTTTAAAGCTGCTAGAAAACTATTTGAAGGTCATTCTTGCCCACCTAAATCAAGAAAGTTAGAACATTCCCCTGGGGCTCGGTCAGTTAAAAAAAGAGGGTGGGGCCTCCCACTGTTTGGATTTCTAGTGTCACGATCAAGGACATTGTCCTGAGAATGTGAGAATGATGGCCTTGACCTGGGGCAAGGTGGGTAGCTGGCTGAGGCCCCACCTCCTCTGCCGTGTGGAGAGATTAATCCCTGCTTGGGAGGAGGAGGAGAGTAAACATGAAGGGTATGCTCAGTCCAAGGCATGCATAGAAAATTCCTCGTAAATCACCCTCAATTGGGAAAGGCCCAGTGACTCTCCTGTCCCCGAGAGCGGCATGTGATGCGGGAATGAAAGGTTGCCTATTCTTTTTCGGGACACAGCACATTTTTATTTGAAGCCGGTCAGGTGGAAAGGGGCAGAAACCACATGGAACACGATTTGGAATCTCTTATGGTCGCACAAACCCCAGCCCCTACCACTGTAAAACTTACCTATCTGGGGAATAAATGAGGGCGGGCTTTGGTTTTTCTGTAAGGTCTGTCCCGTAACTAAAAGCAGAGCACTTTGGCCGTGGCGCAGGCAGCCAGTCACGTTCTTGATGCTTTCGTGGACGATGTAACACCGCAGGCAGGAGAGACTTTAAAGCAAGATTTTTTTTTTTTTATTTTTTAACATTTATTCATTTTTGAGAGAGAGATAGAGTGCAAGTTGGGGAGGGGCAGAGAGAGAGGGAGACACAGAATCAGAAGACAGGCTTCAGGCTCTGAGCTGTTAGCACAGAGCCCAACGCGGGGCTTGAACCCACGAGCCAGGAGATCATGACCTGAGCCGAAGTCGGCCGCTTAACCGACTGAGCCCCCCAGGCGCCCCCAAAGCAAGACGGTTATGTGCAGAGGGTTCAAGTGCAGTGCTCACGGTGCATGCTTGGCCAGCCGAAGAGACCATCAGCCCCCTTGCTGCCCAAGCCCCATGTCCAGGTATTAAATTGCGATGACTTTTGTATCTGAAATCTAACTTGTATCATGTCCAGTTTGCATGGTCCTTCTTGACGGGGAAAGTCATCAGCTCCTTGAAGTACCAGGTAACAGGGTGATTAGCCCCCGACTGCCAGACCTCTGATTCCTAAGCCAGAGGGAGGGCTGAGTGCTGATCAGGTGAGAACGCAGGTCCACCTGCCCAACGGAGCCACACTCCCAGCCTGCCCTTCCTCCAGAGACCCCGACTCCATGCTGGAACTTTCCAGCTCTCGGCCTCTGCCCTGCCTAAATCTACTCCCGGGGGAGGACAGCTCAGCTCCATATCCTTAACCTTCAAATGTATGTCCCTTGGCACGATGAGGCGCAGAGCCGAGAGCCGTCTGTGAGCGCGTTCCCAACGAGAAGCTGCCGATGGAGGGGTCGGCGGGAGGGTTGAACGAGAACTTGAGCTCAAGTACATTTAACTCTCAGGCCAGTTTAGATGCAAACTAAATTGCCCTGTGCTGTACATTGGCTGTTCGGCTCACGGATCCGAAGCCACTGTAAATCGAAAACATCTCGTTGGAACTTGACCTTGGAGCAGCAGGGGTTCCTCACCATTTCTCTTGCGTTCTCTTTGGCAGTCGTCCTGCTGTCCTCTCTGGCCCACATTGGAAATGACTTTCCAGGGAGCCATCAGAGGCCTTCCAGGCTTAAAAAAAATACAGATTTGTTTCTCCAACATCTAAACGTGAAACTGCATCCCCAAGACCACATCCATGACGAAAGAGACGCTGGAAAGCAAAACTCTCTTTCGTCTCCAGGAGCGAAAGCAGTTTGTGGGGAAGCGTGTTTTCCTTACCGTCTCACTTGTGGTTTATTCAGAGCCATAAAATGTTTCCCATTCCGAGGCCCAACCCCTGTTACTTTACTTGCTATTCAAAACCGTTTGAGTGTCTGACACACTCATGACACTGCTAAACGCAGCAAGAGAAACAAGGATGACTGAGTCTGTGTTCTGAAGGTACGGGAGGCAGATAGTAGATGGAAGCCAAATATGTGTCTGATTATTTAATTAGTTGGAGCCTGATCAGCTTCATGGGAGAGGCCCGCCAAAGTTCCGTGGAATTCTCAAAGTTGAGTGGACGTTCGCACGTGGCCGGAGAAATCACTGAAGACTTCTGGAAGGAGGGCTCATGCAAAGTAGTCCTTGAAGGATGAGGAGGACATTAATCAATGGAGAGTGGGAAAGGGGTGCCCCAGGCTGAGAAGCAGCAGAAAGGGTAGATTAGTTATTTTAAAAACATTTTGTTGGGGCGCCTGGGTGGCTTAGTCGGTTAAGCATCTGACTTTCGCTTAGGTCATGATCTCGCGGTTCGTGGGTTCGAGCCCCGCGTCGGGCCCTGTGCTGACTGCCAGCTCAGAGCCTGGAGCCTGTTTCGGTCTGTGACTCCCTCTCTCTCTGACCCTCCCCTGCTCATGCTGTCTCTCTCTCTATCTCCTAGAAATAAATAAAACATTAAAAAATTAAAAAAAAAAAAATTTTGTTAATGTTTTTATTTATTCTTGAGAGAGACAGACAGAGCATGAAGAGGGTAGGGGAAAGCTAGAGAGGGACACAGAATTCGAAGCGGGCTCCAGGCTCTGAGCTGTCACAGCCTGACACGGGGCTCAAACTCATGAGCCGTGAGCCATGACCTGAGCCGAAGTCGGACGCTCAACTGACTGAGCCACCCAGGCGCCCCAGATTTATTAATTGTTAAATGCTTGTTTATTTATTTCGAGAGTGAGAGAGATTGCGAGCACGTGTGCACTAGCAGGAGGGGGGCGGAGAGAAAGAATCCAAGCAGGCCCTGCGCTGACAGCACGGGGCCCGAACTCACCCACTGCAAGATCGTGACCTGAGCCGAAATCAAAGAGTCAAGACACTCAACCGACTGAGCCCCCCAGGCGCCCCAGAAAGGGTAGATTTAGAGAAGAGCAGGCAATCTAGTTTGACCACAGTAGGGAACAGAGTAGCCAAGAGCACAAGCTAAGGTGGAGGCCAGGTCATGGTGGTACTTGTACTGTGTTCAAGAGGCGGTAAATATTCTCTGGTGATTTCTGCACGAGGCCCGGCATGATCAGAGCCGTGCTTCTGGAATATCGGTTCAGTGGCGCCTCTGACGTCTGATTTCCTAGGAGCAGAGCCTGGAAGGGGCTTCCTGGACAAATAACCTGTTGAGAGGTGCTCTCCGGGGAGATCTGTAAGGCAGCGAGGAAGCAGGGGAGGAAGCCAGGCCAAGATGTGGCTTCGAGAGAGGTCTACCTTCCGCTTGATCCCACAGGCTGCTCCAGGGCATTAACTGCACCACAACGTTTGTCCCACCCCTAAAAGCAGGGGCTGCGCTGTTAGACCCCGAGCCAGTTAAGCACGTGGTCACAGGACTGTGGCAGGGAGAAGCGGGAGACAGAGGGGCGCAGGGTAATCTCCCAGATATCTGCGGGCAGCGTGGTTCCCATCAGCTATAAATACCTGTGGGGTGAATGGTGTAAAAGGAGGAGTAGGATGTCCTAACCGATTGGTTTGGGGACAAGAGACAATAGAGAGGACTGGGATTTTGAGTCCAGGTAACTGGGAGAGAGATGTTGACTTTGACATTAACAAAGAATAGGGTCTGTGGGGTGAAGGGGAAGACCCTGGGTTCTTTGGGAGTAGGGGTGCTGAGAGCTTGGAAATCAACGGGAGGGGACGTAGGTAGCGTCCCTGGGTAATTGCTGAGTCAGCCCGTCGGGCCATTGCCCTTTCCTGGGCTCCTACTAGATCCAGACTCCTAACCCACCTCCTTTCTCTCTCATTCGTTATTTTCGTTATTCTTTTGGCCTCTCCCCTTCCTCTAGTTGGGATTTTTTCATTGTCCTTTTTTTCCCATCGACTGCTTGGTCTCCCTGTCTCCTCCCTATGAGCCGGACTCAAACCTCCCATCATCTTTGGCTACTCTTACTTGCCCCCGACCCAGGGGGACGCTCTAGCCTCGCTGTTTCTCCTGCCCCTTCTTTCATCAAACAAATATTTATCGAGTGCCTAATTTGCATCAGTGTCTGAATACGGACATCAAAAAAAAAAAAAAAAAAAAGAAGAAGAAGAAAAGGAAAAAAACGGAAAAAACAAATCCTGCCTTCCTCACACCTTCAATCTGTGGGCTGATCGTTTTGACTGATAACACACAGCTTTAAAAATAAGAGTTTGCTAGGGGCGCCTGGCTGGCTCATTCAGTTAAGCGTCCGACTTCGGCTCAGGTCATGATCTCACGGTTCATGGGTTTGAGCCCCGCGTCGGGCTCTGTGCTGACAGCTCAGAGCCTGGAGCCTGCTTCAGATTCTGTCTCTCTCTGCCCTCTCCTGCTTGCATGCCATTTCTCTCTCTTTCCCCGTGTCTGTGTGTCTGTCTGTCTGTCTGTCTCTCTCTCTCTCTCAATAGAAATCAACATTAAAAAGAAATAGAGTTTGCTCATTCCAAAGAAAAACAAGAGAGAACATATGCAAGAGAAAAGAGGTGAGTGACAGAAAGGAGGAGGACCTTGACCTAGAATTACTCTGGAGTCTCTTCCTGCCCCCACATTATAGTTCTTTTATTACATGCTCTTGTGTTTCCCTGCAAAACTATCTGGCTGTGGTCGGGGAGGCTTTGTAGTTCTTCGAATGCCACTTGAAGGCTGGCAGTGCTGACCAAAGTTAGGATAAACTTGGATAAACTTGCAATGGGTGGGGGCGCAGGATGGGGCGAGTGCTCTAGTTCACGGGCAGAGAACTCTCCAGCATCGCGAAGGGGAAAACAGAGTCGAGAGGAAGCACATCATCCTGTCTGTGTCCGCACGGATCTCTCTGCCGTTCGGAAGGCTGCTGGGATTGACGTGCACGCAAGTCTCTGCTGCCTACTCCTGCTCAAAATACCTTTCCTTCCCACAGCTTCGTGTGAACCTGGATGCAAGTTCGGGGAGTGTGTGGGACCAAACAAATGTCGATGCTTTCCAGGATACACCGGGAAGATGTGCAGTCAAGGTCAGTACCATGGGCCACCATCCTAGTACAGACCTGCCCCAGGGCCTTCAGCAGCAATGCAAGCCTTGCGGTGGGCTCTGTGATCTAGGACAGCGCCCAAGATTTTGTAGACTTTAACTAGAGTCTTACAGTGAAAGTGGTTTCAGAGCTAGATTTTTCAATCAGTCTCTTCTAGAAAAATGTAAACGTCATTCTGATGTTTTTGTTAAGATGCCAGATAAAAGGCCTTTTTTTCCCTCTAAAGTATTTTTTTTTTCCTAAAACAATTTTCACTGTGGGGCACGTGGGTGGCTCTGTCAGTTGAGCGTCCGACTTCGGCTCAGGCCATGATCTCACAGTTCGTGGGTTCGAGCCCCGCGTCGGGCTCTGTGCTGACAGCTCAGAGACTGGCGCCTGCTTCGGATTCTGTGTCTCCCTCTCTGTCTGTCCCCCTGCCTCACACTCTGTCTCTCTTTCTCTCAAAAATAAATATTTTAAAAATTTAAAACAATTAAAATAAAATAAAAACTATTAGTCAATTATCTAAAATTCAAATTTAGGGCACCTGGGTGGCTTAGCTGTTAAGCACCTGACTTCAGCTCAGGTCATGATTTCACGATTTGTGAGTTCGAGTCCCACGTCGGGTGAGCTCGGGCCCCATTTCAAATGAGCCCTGCTTCTGCTTCTCTCTCTGTCCCTCTCTCTGTTTCTCTTTCCCTCTCCCTCTGGGATTCTGTCTCTCTGCCCCTCACTCATTTGCGCCCTCTCTCTCTCAACAAATAAAATAAGATAAAATCCAAATTTAACTGGGCATCCCATGTTTTTATTTGCTAAATCTGGGCCCCTCACCCTCGAGGACATCTGGCAATGTCCGAAAACATTCGGGGGGTGCTACTGGCATCTAGTGGGTGGGGACCAGCCAGTGCAGACCCCACACGAGGAATGGCCTGACCCGAATGGCAACAGCGCTGAGGCCGAGAGGCCCTGGCATGAAGGAGGAGTCCCCAGGCCTGTGATGCGGTGGAGCACAGAGCAGCGAGCCACAGTCAGCTGTCCCCCAGGCTGCCCGGATCCTGGATGGGCACGTGGGGTCCCGGAGGAGGGCAGGCCCGCCCTCCACTCTGCCATCCCCAGGCCTTGCCGCCGAGCCCAGAGGTGAGCTACGGTCGCCGAGGCGGCCACGGGGCCTCTCACCCCCGCGTCAAAAATCGCGCTCTCCCACGTCATGATAGGGCGATACCCCCTCGCCACAGGGTTTCGCGCCGGCAAACCCGTCTCTCCCTCGTGTCTTGGATTCTGTATCAAAATGGCTTCGCCAGAGATTTGGAATAGAGAAGAGATTTCTCATGCTGGTTTTCCATTCCCAGTAAAACATTAGCGTCGAGAGAGTGGTGTAGTTGGCTCAGGTCTGGAACTGTCTCCGCCCACAGCCTTCCTGCTCCCAAGGTGCCCTGACCGAAGCCCATGTATATCCGTTAATGGCGACGGGCCTCAGCCCTCCGCTCTGCTGTGTTTCCTCCAAATGTGTCTTCCAAGCGACGAGTGAGTGACTCTGAGTTGGGGCCAGGCAATGGGGTATTTCTGCGTTTCCCATTATGTCTAATCAGCTTTTTCCAGTTCCCCCTTTTGAAGGGGTTACAATCCCTGCAGGAGAAGGTCAAGAGGGAATAAGCAACGGAGAAGGGCGTGCACATGCCCTGCTAAGTCGTCGGAAAATTCCCGCATAAGGTGCTTGTCAGAGGCCAAAGCTGCCACTTGTTTTTCAAGGATACACCTTGCCTATCTCCCTGCTGAAGTTTGGTCTTCTATAGAATTTGGTTCTTTTCTCCTTTCCAGATATTCCTTCAAGGAGTTAAGCCATGACCACATTTCCAAAGATAAGCTCCTCTCCTCATGATCGTTTTATTTTCCTCCTGTATCATTTTTTATTTTATTTTATCCTATTTGGTTTTTATTAAAAAATTTTTAAATGTTTTATTTATTTTTGAGAGAGAGAGAGAGACATAGAACACGAGCAGGGGAGGGGCAGACAGAGAGGGAGACACAGAATCCGAAGCAGGCTCCAGGCTCCGAGCTGTCAGCACAGAGCCCGACGCGGGGTTCAAACTCAACAGACCCTGAAATCACGACCTGAGCCAAAGTTGGACGCTTCACCCACTAAGCCACCCGGGTGCCCCTAGTTTTTATTTTAATAAAAATGTCATTCATTCTTAGTATTTAAATTCTTTTTAGGAAACACTGAAAAGCACAGAGAAGAAAGTCCCCCTCAGTCTGACCACGTGGAGGTGACCATTAGTAGCCTTTAGAGCATAGCCTCCGAGGCTTACGTGTCCTACAGTCTCACCGCCCATAGCTGCCTGCCAGAGTTCTCCCTGGAGGGGCGTCAGCCAAGACAATTTAGCCGATGTGGAGCTGCCCAAGATGACCACTGAAAGGAGGCTGTGCTGTGGGCATCTGTCATAGGCTGCCTGGAACAACACTAAAGGCAGACGTATCTAAATTGTATTTCTAGCTTTTGATTCAAGCATTGTGCCCACAGAATTGCACATACAGCAAAAATGTACCACTCAGTGAGTTTTCTTTTTTTTTTTTAATGTTTGTTTATTTTTGAGAGAGGGAGAGACAGAGTGTGAGTGGGGAAGGGGCAGAGAGAGAGGGAGACACAGATTCCTAAGCAGGCTCCAGACTCCGAGCTGTCAGCACAGAGCCTGACACGGGGCTCGAACCCATGAACCATGAGATCATGACCTGAGCTGAAGTTGGACACTTAACCAACTGAGCCACCCAGACGCTTAACCGAGTGAGCCACCCAAGCATCCCTGAAGATTTTATTTTTAAGTAATCTCTACACCAAACATGGGGCTCGAGCGCACACCCTAAGATCAAGAGTCGTGCGTTCTCCCGACTGAAGCAGCCAGGTGCCCCTTGCCTGACTTTTATGTATTCATTTGTCTTCTAGCTTCTTCCACACACTCTCACGTCTGTGAGCTTCATCCTTTGTGCTTGTAGCTGGAGTCTGTCCCGTCTTGTTGCTGTAAAGTGTTCCTTCGCGTGAGTGTACAAGTCATCTGTCCTTCCTTCTGTTGGGACATGTTGGGATTCTTTCCAGGTTGGGGCTGTTAAGAATAGCATTATCGTTGGGGCGCCTGGGTGGCTCAGTCAGTTAAGCGTCCCACTTTGGCTCAGGTCATGATCTCACGGTTCATGAGTTCGAGCCCTATATCAGGCTCTGCACTGACAGGGCAGAGCCTCCTTCAGATTCTATGTCTCCCTCTCTGCCCTCCCCCACATGCTCTCTCTAAAGTAAGCAAAGACGAAACAAAAAAAAGAATGGTGTTACTGTCGTCATTTTACATGTTTTCTTGGTGGGCGTACATCCATGTTGCTGTTGGGGAATCTACCCAGGAGGGGAATTGCTGGGTCATTGGGTGTATCTGCATCTAGCTTCAATAGATTGTGCCAGACATTTGTCCAAAGTGGTTGTGCCCACTGGCACCCCCTCCGATGGTGTGCGATTATCCTGGTCACTCCACACACTGGTTCATCCTTCAGGATCGATTTTTAATGATGACTGGAGAAGAGGCGGGTGAGTCATTACCGCACGTAGCCACTCCCGCCGGTGAGGGCCAGGGAAGCCAACCCAATCCTACATCTTGATGTTTCCCCATCCAGTTAACGTTTCTCCCTTTTCCAACTGCCCCGTGCAGATGTGAATGAGTGTGGAATAAAGCCCCGGCCGTGCCAACACAGATGTGTGAATACACACGGGAGCTACAAGTGCTTTTGCCTGAGCGGTCACATGCTCATGCCGGATGCCACGTGTGCAAGTAAGTTTTAGCAGCCACACTGCCCTCCGTCATCCTTTGACACTGGATTCTTGCCAGCTGAGCAATTAAAAAAAAATTGTGGTCAAAGAAATAAACGTGAAATTCACCAGTTTAATTAGCCATTTGAAACTGTACAGTTCAGCGGCATTTAGTACACTTACATACGGTGTTGTACAACTACCACCACTCTAATTCTAGCACAGCCTCATCTCCCTAGAAGGAAACCCTGTGTCCGTCAGCAGTACCCCCCGCCCCCAAATCACTAATCTGCTTTCTGTCTCTCTGGATTTGCCTCTTCTGGACACGTGCTTTTTAAAGAAAAAGCCTAACTGGGGTTATCTCCAGATGCAGGGTTGTATGGGATTTCTTCCTGAAAATAAGCACATTGCTTTAGGAAGGTGATCCACTGAAATTCTATCTTGGACGTCGCTTCTTCCCACCAACTGCCTTTCTCACGCCCCTGGCCCCATGCTCAGAGTCATGACTCTTGTTGGGAACATATTCAGATTCACATTCCTGAAAAGAAAAGCCCTTCTGTGATAAAGAGAAACCCACCTCCTGCGGAAGGGTAAAACAATATCCACTCGTTTATCGAGAGGGAAGGTTTTTCGGTTTAATGTTGCAACGGAGAGGCAGACCCATCCTCACTGCCCGCCTGCCCTCCTCCCCGCTTCCCCTCCTGCCTTCCGCCCCTCTCCCCACCTCCCATCTCTCTCTCCTCTGTCCTGTCCCCAGCAGACCTGGACTTTATGCGTTCTGCTAAGGGCCTCTGGTTACAAAGTCTTCCGGACTCCCTAGCTCATCCGGGGCCTTGCAACGGTGACCCAGTCCCGGCTGGCTCGTGGCTTGTGTCTCTCCTGGCGGCTCCTTGTGCTTTCCGTCGCCTCTGTTGCCAAGCAAGCTTGAGATAGAGCAGACATTCAAAGTCTTAAAAAAAAAATCCTCAGTATTATACACAGAAACCTACCAAAGACAAATATGTACATATATATTAAATATACATACATATGATATTATATGTTATATAATATGTAGCTTCATGAATTCTTATAAGGTGAGCACCCCTGTAACCACTACCAAACAGAACTTTGCCCGAGCCTCCCTCCCTCCCTACCCCATCATGGGAATTCCCTAGGCTTTTACAGTGATCACATAACACTTTTAAACAGATATATCCTAATGGATGTTTCTGAAACATTCCATGAAAGCCTAATCAGCGCCCCAAAAGAGGTGTCTTTTCCCAAATGGAAAGAAAGAATTAGGTAAATGTTGAAGACTCATTTTAAAGGACGACTCAAGAGAAGAGAGGATAAACTAGAAATGTTACCATGGGTAGGTGTTTGTCACATCCCCTCCGTATGTATCCTTTACCCACCTTGGTCTATTTCTGTATATGGAAGCTGTTGGCCTGTGCCTTCCTGTTTATAGCTCAGTGTCCAGGGAGCCCTGGGCCTCTCCTGATTTTATTTAACCGGGTTGCCGGCAATCTCTCTTGTCCCGCCGAGTGATTGACACATTACGGATGGTGGTGGATCAAGGGAGTATATTCACTGTACTTGCCTGCCGTAGACACTTGTGCCAGGGAAGTGCATTTATGAGAGGCAAGTTATGCTCAGCAACAAGTGACCGAAAAATCCACCCAAGGACCCGGCTGTGACCAAAGAGATATACCAAGAAGTCTGTTGGAGGGGAGGGGTCTTGGGCCACCCTTTGTTGCTGCAAGGGAAGCTGGAATGAAGACCCGTGACTGGCTTTCCAGCCTCTCCGATGGCTTCTGGGCAGCCGTCGCTCCTGCTCGCCACGTGTTTTAATATGGCCAAGTGAACGACCAGGTCTCGTGCCTTGAGCGACTCTCATTGAGGCTAGATGTGTACGGAGAGATCTCTAGAATGGATTTTTCCCCCCTAATTACTGAGACCGAGCCTCTCCACCTGAAGTTGCGTTTCAGCGTAGAGAGGCCAGCCAGGTGCCGTAAAGAGTGATGAGAACGTGCTAGAGAAGAGGCAGATGCAGTGTCTGGTAACCGAGGGGTGTGTGCCCCACCTACAGACAATCAAATTCAGTACACTGGCCCACCGAGACCCCACCTCGCCCAGATTCCATTTGGGTCTCAGACAATGACGCTTGTCCCATAATACGTCCCAGGGATTACACTAAACATCCCAGGATGCAGAGATCACTCCTCGGTAAGTGCTTTTTATCAGCTCGGGAGGAGCAGGCTGATCCTTGCCTACATTTTCAGACCCCCAGACGTGTGCCCTGACAAACTGCCAGTACAGCTGCGAAGACACGGAGGAAGGGCCTCGCTGTCTGTGTCCGTCCTCGGGACTCCACCTGGCACCAAACGGAAGAGTCTGTATAGGTAGACCAGCCTCTACTCCTCCTCTTCCCTTTACTGAATTCCTTCCTTTTCACTCGTCGCAATCCGCTCGTTGACTAGAGCGAAAGTTCCTGAAAGTACAGATTCATGCCCATTTCTGAGACGACTAGCCACATACACTCTAGACACTTTAGGATGTTAGAAAGAACACTTCTCTGTTATTCGGGGGGTGTCTCAGGCCATAGTGGACAAAGGATAAAGGTCATTTTATTTTAGTATATATACCCTGTATGTTTCACTTCAGTTACCATCCCACAGAAACCTGCTACTTACGGTCATTCAGTGAATAAAATCCCAAAGGCCGTTGGGCTCTCTTTGGGGTTCTAGCTAATATTTCCTACAAAGTTGTATTTGCTTATTTTTTTTTTTTTTTAGCTCTAAGCCTGTTGAGAATAGTATATCCCTTGTACACAGTTTAAGTGAGCAAGTAACCAGTTTCTCATGGTCTTTAAAGGTTGCTCTAAACTATATGAACCACATAGTCCAAAATCATTTCCGCTTGGAGGGATGAGCAAATTAAATCCATAATATGAGACGAGCAGATACAGCCATCGTTTATAACCTTGAATTTAGTCAAGTCTCAGGATTAGAACTTTGGGTTCTTGCTCTCCATTGTCTTATTTTGTGTCTTAGTCTCGGGTCCCCAGAAGCGGACTCTGAGCTGGTAGTTGATCTGGGAGGTGGTCTCAGGGAATGCTGGTTGAGGAGGAGGGAAGGGGAGGGCCCAGCGCAGGGTGAGTTCCATGAGCAGGTTAAATATCTGTGTCCTTCCTGGAGGCTGGGGAAGCTGCCTCCGCATCTTCCTTCTGCAGTGAGGGCGTGAGGGATTTATGCGTCAAGTTTCTTGATGGGGGAGCTGCTCCAGAGCATTGACCCCCCCCGGCACGCCCAGCCCGGCCCAGCCCGGATAAGGGTCATTGCAGAACGTGGCAGGTGCGACCTTAGGCAGGTAGCAAATGCCTAGTGCTGAGGGGCGATTGGGGGGGGGGCACCCACAGGGCACCCTCTGACTGATGCCACACTTTCTGCCTTAGCTCCCTTGTGAATGTGTATTATGTTCACTAACCAAACCGTATATACTCCTGGTCTGGTACTTACATTGCACGAAAGATACACAGAACAAGTGAGCTCATAGCATTAATAAAGGATCTCAAACCAAATCAGAACATTGAAAGAGTTCTTAATGTTTTTTTTTTAATTTAAATAAGCATATTCTTACTTGTTTACTGCAGTAGAAATACTTTTCAGTCAAGGTGCTGGACATTTATTCTAAATGTACATAACTTGGGGCGCCTGGGTGGCTCCGTCGCTTGGGCCTCCAACTTCGGCTCAGGTCATGATCTCACAGTTTGGGAGTTTGAGCCCTGCGTCGGGCTCTGCTGACAACTTGCAGCCTGGAGCCTGCTTCAGATTCTGTGTCTCCCTGTCTCTGTGCCCCTCCCCTGCTTGCACTCCGACTCTCTCTCTCTCTCTCAAATGAATAAACATTAAAAACTTTTTTAAAAATAAATGTACATAACTTGATAAGCTGCATTTAGAAAGTTCTGCCAAATAGGTTGCCTAAAGCAGTTACATACTTTAAAAAAAATCCCTGTAAAATTACAATTTTGGCTCTGCTCTTTGAGAGTAATCAGATGTAGTTAGATTCACAGGGTTTAGCGTTCTTCAGTAAAATAAGATAACATATGACAAGGCTAATTTGTGCAAACTGAATGCAATTTTCACCACCTCTGATTTGACGGGTGCCTTTTTTATTGAAAGGAAAGCTAATCTACATGGAAGTGGTCAGTGAGAAATGATTTTGGTCAGTCTGACACTTACGTAGTATCTTAAGAATGCCAAGGGAGCACTGAGTCAGCACGCGCCTGCATGTTTACCCATAGGTCCCAACGAACGACATAAAACATCTGCTCGATTTGATAGTGAACGCAAAGCCCGAGTCTGGCTATTTTGCTCTGCGTTGCAGAGCGTCGTCGGTAACCTGACTCTCAAGGGAAGGAGGGCACCCAGTTGTCTGAAAGTTCCATCATCACGTGTGACCCACAATTTCTGTTTAGGTGCAGTTTCAGGGAACCGTATCTCGGACACCTGGGTGGCTCAGTCGGTGAAGCGGCCGACTGCGGCTCAGGTGACAATCTCATGGTTCATGAGTTTGAGCCCTGCATCAGGCTCTGTGCGGACAGCTTGAAGCCTGGAGCCCGCTTTGGATTCTGTGTTTCCCTGTGTCTCTGCCCCTCCCCACCCTGCTCACGCTCTGTCTCTGTCTCTGTCTCTCTCAAAAATAAACATTTCTAAAAAGGAAACCACATGTCTGTGACTTGAGTCAGTGTCGCAGGAGCCTTGGAGGAGCATGCTAATGAGATCATTCTTCAGTAGAAGGCAGAATTTAACATGTGTATGTGGTTTATGGAAAGCGCCGTTACCGGACTGCATCGTGTGCACGATACAGTATACATGGCTGGGAAAGTAGTAATTCAGCCACCAAGTCTGTAGTGGGTATGTACCCAGGGCCCGACACCTCCCTGCCCCAGAAGAGCCAGGGTCTACCAGGACAGATGCGAATTGGAAGTAGCGACGTGGCAGAGAGAGAATGTGTCTAAGGCGAGATGTACGGCATGATAGAAACACATAAAAGGCGGAGCTGTGAGTGTGGTGAGGGCATCTAGAACACCCCCCGAGGGTATGATGCGAGCAACTGGAGTGCGTGCGCGCATGCGCAATTGGCAGGGAGAGTGCCGTTCTGGCTATCGCTGACACCTTCTGGTTCTACACCATAGATGTCGATGAATGTGCCTCTGCCAAAGCCATCTGCCCTTACAATCGAAGATGCGTGAACACGTTTGGAAGCTACTACTGCAAATGTCACGTTGGTTTCGAACTGAAATATGTCCGTGGCCGCTATGACTGTGTAGGTAAGAGTGAGTGGCACCGTCTGCCCTTTTCGTCTCCCCGACAAACCTCTAGTCTTCATCTACGGGCATTCTGAGGCGAACTCAGTCTGTCAGTTGAACAGTCTGTTGTTGACCAGTTTAACAATACAGAAAAGGTCCCGTTTTTTTGTTTCTGGCTTTGAGGGAAGTCTGATGAGATGAATTAGATGAAGCCAGGTCAGTCAAGGTCGAAAGTAAGGGACCTCAGTGGGTATCGTTTGTTCTGGGGGCAAATATCTTAAGGTGGTTTTTGTGGGTTAAAAATTTGGTTGGTTTCCTTTTTAATTTTTGACGTTCCAGCCATATATTGAAAAATGGAAACAATATAGCACAAAAGGAAGCCGAAAAAGGCCTGTTTGATCTTGATCTCGGAGCTCTGTTCATAGCAGTTTCCTCTGGGGGTGGCGTCAGACACAGGGGAGAAGGAGCGTCATGGTTCAAGCTCCAAATGGCCTAAGATGTTGGCTTTCCAGATCACCACTTTCTGATAAGATTCTGGTCTCAGTCAGCTATTAGCCTGATCTCTGTGAAAGAAAATATTTGGGCCCTTGGCAAAGGGATTCCAAGTCCAAATGAGCCAGGGACGTGGGGTGTTTCGGAGCCCTTGGGCACGTCTGCAGTGCCCTTGATGTACCTGGGACGGGGCCTGCCCTTCGGTGGAGAGAGATCTGGGCTCCCTGTAGACGCCTACTCGTGTAACACGTGGTGCAGACGTGTGCATGACCGTGAAGCTCGCGGCTGGGGGAAGACTGGGATTTCTCTCCACCCTGCATCCAGAGCGGCCCAGGACGCGTCTTGGGTGAGCGCCCCTCGGCCACAGTTGGTTCCAGAAGTTTGAACCGTCTTGTGAAGACTCCACAGCGCTTCACGCAGATCTTTTCAAACACAGAGGCCGTTCTCCACCGGCTCATCACCTCCGTGTTTCTCGCGGGTTTGGACCCCATAACCCGGTGCTGCTGTGTCCCTGAGAAGTAGCCCATTCCCAGGTCCCTCGAGGGTCCCACTGGACAGGGTGGGACCTCCCGTGGAGAGCTTCCAGGAGAAATCCCATCTTGTGATTTTAAGGGATTAAGATTAGCATCTGAGCTCTTTTGGTGGCTGAATTTAAAACAATGGGCTATTTTGTGTGCATAGGTCTCCCAAAGCGTGGATAGCAAGTCAGGTGCAGGAGAGGGCTAATGAACTTCTCGCTTGGGTGGGATTCGGCCAACTTTCCTGGTCTGGGTCCAGCAGACGAGCTCAGACCAGCCCGGCCCTGCTCCTGGCAGCCTTGAAACAAAATGCCTGGGAGTTCAGATGACGTCCGTGGCTCATAACCCACCTTCTCCTTTGTCGGTTAGGAGTTCCGAGCCCTTCCACACGTGGGATATATTGTCTGATGCTGTTATTTCATTCTGAATTAGATGAAAACGTGAAGCAAAAAACATAAACATCTTCTAGCTTTCAGCAGTAGTGATCAGCAGTCGAGATTGTGGGGGGCTGCATGGGGCTCCCCAGCTCCCTGTGTGCTGGCGTCGGGCAAAGCCTGGGCATTGGGAGATTTGACGGCATCCCGGTTCTCAGGCCCCACGTGGCTTGGTGGCAGGTGTTGCGGGGTCGGCCCTAGCGTTGCTCAAGTGCAAGGGATAGCCGGGCTTCTAGCAAGCCCGGCCGTTGCACAGCTGTTCACGGGAGCGTTCACATTTTTAGATATAAATGAGTGTGCTGGGAATACCCCTCCGTGCAGCCTCTATGCCAGCTGCCTCAATACCCAGGGATCCTTCAAGTGTAAATGCAAGCAGGGATACAGAGGCACTGGACTTCAGTGTTCTGGTAAGTGGGATTTGCTCCTGGCATCTTAGCCGCTCTCACTAGAGCCTTCTCTCCTTCCTCCCTTCATTTCTCTCTGTCTGTCTGTCTGTCTCTCTCTCTCTGTGCATGTGTGGTAGCGTGTGCATGCAACGTTCGAAAACTCCAACTCAGCCTTGTCTCCTCTGCTAACCAGACCACATCTTCAGTACTCACTGAAGTTGTGGGCGCTAAAGCTTGCAGAGCAGCAAAGGTTCTGGATTTCTGTCTGCTCACAATGTACTCTCAAAGGCTGAAGAGAAGATCTAAGGACACGTGGCGCTGCGCTCACGTCGTCTGCCGAGAGAGGGTAGGTGATGGGACAGTAACAAGCAATCCTCAAATGCCGGTGGCTTCGAACCGCAAGCTTGTTAACCACATGAATCAGAACATCTTCCAGAACACACCGCCAAAAGGCAGTGGGACGAAGCCGACGGCGCTTTCTCGGTTATCCTCAAACCTCGGTTCACGCTTTTAGCAGAGTCTCATTGCCTTTGTGGGCGAATTCCTTACTGCATAGGCGCTAACGTCTTACATTGATGAGCCAGATGTAGAACCATAAAATGTCAGCGCTCCCGTCAGCTAGGACACCAACAATGGTTTGTTTCTCACTCGCGCTGCGTGTGAAGAGAGTTGTCGGGGTGTTTCTTCTCCGTGGGGTCCCTCGGGGAGCCATGCTGACAGAGGCCCCATCATCTTCGGGTGCCACAGTACCGATCGAAGCCCTCGGGGTTTGTCAAGGCAGGGAAAGAAGCGTGGACAACCACACGCCAGCTGTCCATTCACTCATACGTGGCCCTGCCGTGTGTGCGGAAAGAAAACCAGAAGTGACGATGAGTGGCCGCCATGTACTGTCCTGGCGAAAGTGTCTCATAATGTTTGAAGTCACCTAGGTTTACCCATCCGGTCTTGTCCCTTTTATGTTGTAATTAAACAAATTTTTTTGATGTTTATTTCTTTTTGAGAAAAAGGCCGAGCGCGAGCGGGGAGGGGCAGAGAGAGAGGGAGACACAGAATCCGAAGCAGGCTCCAGGCTCTGAGCTGTCAGCACAGAGCCCGACGCGGGGCTCAAACCCACGAACTGTGAGATCATGACCCGAGTGAAGTCTGACACTCAACCGACCAAGCCACAGAGGCGCCCCGGTGTGGTCGCTTTCCACACTGGCTCATCGTGTGTCTTGATCTGTTCACTGCCCTGACTCCATTGTCCTATATACCCTTAGCAGGCTTCCCACGTCTTCCACACATCTGGCTTCAAGTTGTGCCTTGGCCTGTCTCATGTCCTTAAGTGGCCAGTGCTCCTGATGACACGGCGGAGCAGCCGCTCTGTGATGGCAAAAAAAGAAAGTGTCCGCACCGTGGTAGACATCGAGCCCCACAGCCATCAAAGTTCACAGTACCCCGGGGGGCTGTGGTTGAGTACCACTGGAGGAGAGTGTGTACAAAAGAATGTAGCCAAGGAGGATGAGTCTGGAACTCAAATTCCCTGCAGAACCGCCAGAAGAACTGGGCAGCATTTCATCTGGAAGAAACAGTAGGGAAAAGTGTACGTGGCGCCTGTAGATATTTAAGGGATGTGAAATAAAAGGGACTTCTGAGGCGGACTGGGAACAGTGGGCGGAGGCTGTGTTCTCTCTTCAAGAGGCTGGCCAGGTACCTGGGAGTGGAGCCCGGAGCCCTGCCCAGCGGCCCGTTCACCATGCAGGCCTCCAGGCCTGGCTCTCTGAGGCCTTCCTGTACCGGGCTGGGTGGGATTACACAGCTACTCAGTCGCCAGCCACTCGGTGCTGTGGTTTCTAACCTTCTGTGCACAGGTGCTCATGATCTCCTTCTGGAACTTTCTCAAAGACACAGGGAGAGAGAGTGAGAGCGGCTGCCTGTGTGGGACGTGCGTGGGTGGATCAGGAGGAGGGATGCCATAACCTGGAGAGGCCCCGCAGAGACGAAATGGAGTAGATCAGCTTTTCGTATTGCATGATGGTCAAGCGCTCCTTCATGCCACCGAATCTGAACACTTATCATCCAGACTCACTTGTCAAGGGCCGTTTGGTGCAATGGTCACCAGCTGAGGCTCAGGACCTAGGAGAGCCTGACTCTGACTTTGAGCTCTGCCCTCTACTGGCTATGACCTTGATTTTATTTATTTATTTTTTAATGTTTATATATCACTAAGAGACAGAGACAGAGAGCGAGCAGGGGAGGGGCAGAGAGAGGGGGAGACACAGAATCTGAAGCAGGCTCCAGGCTCTGAGCTGTCAGCACAAGGGATCCAGGCCTGGCTCTCTGATGAGACCCAGGGACCACCTCCCAAATAAACCCTCTGCACTCAAATCCTGTTTCAGGTTCTGCTGGGGGCTGGGGGAGCCCTCGTGAAGACAAGTACCTCTCGAGTTCATTGTGAGGTCTGGCTGAAGTAATGTACGTAGAGAGTTTGGTGCAACTGAGCATATAGTAGATGCTCAACTAAGTTAGCTGTGGTTATTGTTACCGAGTCACTTCAAGTGGCTGTTTGTTAAGTGCCTGCTGCGCCTTCTGAAATCCTGTAGAGGTAGGATGCACAAATGCTGTGCACACAGCATTGATACGCCTCAGGAGAACACTTGTTTCGGGAGGTGAGTAACCCACCTCCCCCCGACCCCGGCTCCAGGCCCAAGAATCAAAGCAAGAGCTGCCCGGAATAAGCCTGGAATCCTCTTCTTTCCGGACCCTTGAATTGCCCTGAAACCGCAATGTGTTACTCACGTCCCAGTGAAGGCACCGTCTCTAAGCACACAGTTGGAAAGCTGTTTGCAGCCCGCGGTTTATTATATTGTCCCACAGCGCTTTGAAATTCTAAATCCCACATCAGCACAAACAGTTCTGATGTCAAGAAAACTTCCATTTTTCGTTGCCCATCCAACGTGAAGCATATTTCTGGGCAGAACACATTTTTCTTTATTCTTTGAATCCTCAGACTTAGCGCCATGTTGTGTTTGAGTCGTTGAAACCATGCATTTTGATCCTATCCATTCTGCAGCCGAATTATGTCTTTCGTCTCTCACTGGACTGTTTATTTAAAAGAGAAAACGATCTTTGGGTCATTCACCATATGACTGGCCCAGCCTTTGCATTTTGCTTTGATTCTCTGTAAAATAAATAGCCTCGTCTCTGTTGAAAATCGATCTTAACAGGCTCTCAACACATACTGCGTAAAGGATGGTCCAAAATTCACTCTTAAAAAAAAAAAGGTTACATATTTACTTAGCGTGAGCAGGGGGAGGGGCAAAGAGAGAGAGAATATCCCAAGCAGGCTCCAGGCCGCCAGTCAACGTGGGGCTTGATCCCATGAACCGTGGGATCGCGACCTGAGCCAAAATCAAGGGTTGGATGCTTAACCAGCTGAGCCACCCAAGTGCCCCCCAACATTCATTCTGAGTTGCCTAGGAAAGTCCTACAGACAAAATTGAGAGAATCACATCCACTTAGCACCCAGCATTCAAAAATATTATATTGTAAAATACATTTATAGACACTGATTATAACATACAGCATCGGTGGAGCAGCTTTTATTATGCGTCCATTGTGTTTGCGAAAGCCCAGGCCCCAGGCTGTAGTACAGAAGAGGAGGTGGTAGGCAGTCCTTGTGCACATATGCACCCAGAGGTAGCAGTACCCTAAATGTAGACGTGTGTGCTTTCTCCCTGTTCTAATATACGTGAGTATTAAGAATACACTGTGAGATGGTGTGGTCTTAATTTGAGACACGCGCCAGTCATTCTAGGCAAATCTAAGCTTTAATATTAGCCGACTTGGTCATGAAGTCAGTTTAGGAAAGGGCGCTATGTCATTTTGTTACCAGGAGCATGGCTTCTGGAATCCAGTCACCTTGGCTTGATGATCGGCTCCCTGGCCTCCTACCTGTGGACTGTGAACAAATGATGTGACCTTTCAATGCTTCAGTTTCCACACCTGCAAAATAAAGATAATAGTATCTAGGGCCACGGTCCGTGGAGCGTCCAGCTATGGTTTAGGTCATGATCTCACAGTCTTGTGAGTTCAAGCCTTGCATTGGGCTCACTGCTGTCAGCGCAGAGCCTGCTTTGGATCCTCTGTCCCCCCCTCTCTCTCTGCCTCTTCCCCACTTGTGCTCTCCCTCAAAAATAAGTAAATGTTTTTTTAAAACCTTTTAAAAAAAGTAATAGTATCTGGCCCTTAATTTTGTTTTGATGATTACATGAAATAATCCTCACAGAATAAGTAAATGTCCATACAAAGGGCTTGGTTCCAGCCCAGAATTCAGTAGTTGTTCCCATGAAAAGCAGTTTTCTGGGTCATTAGAAATGTGCTTCTGGTTTAATTCAATTTATAGATGGCATATTCGAGAACATAGGCATTGCTACAATAGGCCATTCCAACTTTAGTCTTTTAGCTATCACATAAACGTTCGAAGTTTGGAGGTATGGCCTAGAAAAACATTTTTTTTAACCCAGTAAAAGATTTTAAACATCCTGGTGATGAATTTTAAAAATAATAGCAAATAGGCCAAATACATGATGAGCGCTAATCTTAGTAATTGACATGTATTGGCGAACTTAAACCTCACAAAAGCCCTATTCTTATCCCATCTTAATAAGCGGGGAAACTGAGGCAAAACAAGTTAAGAATTGGTCTGAGGCCGGATGACCATGATGACCAGAGGATGCAGGAGCTAGGAGTCAAACAAGAGAACCGGGCCCCAAGCCTGTGCGCTTACACACAGGATAGGTGTGTCCGTGACCCAGGGCTACCCTGCGGGGATGGAGACCTGTTGGGGGCCCTCCCCGACAAACCCCGAGGCTGTGCCTTTCTGCCATCCCAGCCCCTTCCTGTTTTCTGGGTCATTCGGTGCAGTACCTTCCTTGCGCATGATTCAGCCCCTCCTCCCAGCACTGTGTGCAAAGCTCAGATGAGAGGAACCATTTCTTCTGCAAGAGAAGCGAGAATCTGAGACAGATTCTCGAAGCCCAGGGGAATGAATGTCAGAATCCTAACACTCCTCAGCAAGATATTCTCACACCACAGCGATCTTCTCTAAAGTTGAGAATTTCAGGTAGGTGGCAGTCTTTGACAAAGTGGACATTTTAGAGGAATCGCCAATCTCCCTCGAGAAATTGTCAACTTCATTTACAGAAGACTCGCCTTGATTCTGAAAACTCCGGAATTCCTAGGTTTCAGGTCTGCGATCCCCAAGCCTGCTGAAGCCCACCTACTGTAACTGCTTCCACGTTTGTATATTCTCAAAAAGATGATGCATTAATTGAGAAAGTTTAAAAGAATCGATCACCAGTTATGTCACATTTGAAACCATAATAACCTAGGTAAAGCCACATCTGTCCATTCATGCCCCAGCTCTCTTTTTACACACTAAAGGAGTGAAATTGTTGATACCGCAAAGGTTGTGCTGGTGTGATTTTTTTTTTCCAGTAGGCAAAATCGAAACTTCAACGTGGGAACTGACAGCAGATGTTTAGCTTTGCCTGGTGTGGGTTGAAACCCCCTTCCGATTATTTAGGAAGGGTCCTTAGTTTTGTGTCGCTGATTACATCAAGGACATTTCCAAGGAATGGGTGTTCCCTGTTAATTTTTCACGTGATGCCTTAGAAAAAAGTTCAGGAAACTGTCGACAGGACCAGACACTGGGGCCTCCAGAGGAAGTCCGTATGATCGGCACCTTAGAATCCAAACTTAACATGCAACCTCTTGCAAGGTAGCTGAAATGGGCCATCTGAAGGTCAGGAAAATGGGTAGTGATGCATTTCTTGGATTAGTAGAAGTTGCTTTCCAACCTCCAACGCGTAACTACAGACTGTCACGTTGATAAATTGTTAGAACGTTTCATTGAAAAGGGAAACGTAGCTCTTGCCAAAACAGCCTTAGATTGATTTCAAAGTGAAAGCAACGTATTCATTAAGAGCATATATATTGTCAAAGCATTGTTCTTTCTTCTGATTATCCCAAATATTGTAGGCTTCTCCTTATTTACTTTTCTACCATTTGAATCAGCCAAGTGATGGAGAAGGTACTGGACAGAAGAAGAGAATAGAACTTTGTCAAGAAAAATATTCTAATAAAATCCCCATCCAGTTCATTTTTATAGTTGTCTTTATAGGCACTGAACTTGATGTCTACTCCCTTATTTCATTTTCCTCCAGACTATGTCCAAGTAGTACAATTGAGTAAATTGGATCAGGTGTTATTAGATCCTTTCTTATCTAGTCTTAGACTGGCACATGGCTAGATAGTTTATAAAAGGACAATATATTTGATTTTAAAGATCAGTGTTTTCAGCTCTTTGAAAATTACCTTCTTACAACAAATACTATATGTTTGCACGTATAGGAGGATGAGGAGGAACTTAACGGAGGACCGCAGGGGAGAAGAAGGGGGGAAATAGTGGGGGAGAGGGAGAGAGGCAAAACTTGAGAGACTCTTGAATGCCGAGAACAAACTGAGGGCTGATGGGTTGGGGGGGAGGGGAAGGGGGGTGATGGGCATGGAGGAGGGCCCTTGTGGGGATGAGCACTGGGTGTTATATGGAAACCAACTTGACAATAAACTATTTGTAAAAAAAAAATGTAGAAAAGATGAAAAAAAATTACCTTCTTACATCAGTTGGGTATTCTTAATTACCACCGGTCGATCCCTGGACAAGGGGCGTGCATCTTCAGATTCTAGATCTCAGGGAATTTGAACCAGCCTAGAAAAAAATAGCACTTACCCCTAAAGCAGGAATAAACCTACCGAGCAGATAGGACTAGAAAAGGAGTCAGTCACCTACTTAACCCACAAATTCTAACTCTGACCCTGGGGAGCTCACTGATTTGGGGCAAGTGACTTGTCTCTTCTGTAAACAAAGGTGTTGGGCTAAATGACCATTCTTCCTGCGTTCTTCTACACTAACATTCCCCCCACCCAGCCACCCAGAGTCATCGGTCCACTGAGGGGTAAGAGGAATCAGCCTCGAAGTGCAATTCTTTTATTTTAATTTTTTTAGAAGTGCGTTTTTAAGGCAACTTAATTTAATGGTGAGAAATTAAAAAATGAACATAAGATAGTAAATATAGAAGCCACCTTTCAATATTCAATAAGTAAAGTCATTTCACTTTAGATTCTCATTGACTGAGGTGAAGAAGTTCAAAGGGGGGAGAGGACAGGGAAGGAAAATTAGGTATGTATACATTGAACCATAAATCGTCATTTTTGTAGGTTACCAATGGTCTCATTATTGGCAGTTTATGTGGTTCGACCTATTGCTATGGTTGTAAACCTTGAACGTCAAATTTGGACAATTCAGTAGGGTTGGCCGGACAGCACCGCTTTGAAGAATACCGGTGTGAATGTAGAAATCGCATAGGACCCTGGAACGTCCTTTGCTTTGGAGTCTGTAGCCCACCTTGGGAGGAGCGGGTATTTCACTGCAGTAGTCTCTGAAACAAGAGAAAAGTATGTCCTCTAATGAAAAATAGGTAAGCCATGACCATAACATTGGAACTGCTTAAAATAGATGCAGATACGGTTCTTCCTAGAATATCAAGTGGTAGTGGGGGTGCCTGGCTGGCTCAGTCAGTAGACCATGTGACTCTTGATCTCAGGGTCATGCTTTCAAGTCCCACGTTGGACATGGCGCCTACTTAAAAAATACGTATTATAAAATATCAAGCAGTAGGCCCTCATGTGATTCCAGAAGCATTCATTTACTGTACTTTGCTCCATTTTCCATGAGTGACCTAATTATCAGTCAACGTAAAACTTCCCACCTGCTATTATTTTAGTTATCCCTGAAAATTCTGTGAAGGAAGTCCTCAGAGCTCCTGGTACCATCAAAGACAGAATCAAGAAGCTGCTGGCTCACAAAAACAGCATGAAAAAGAAGATAAAAATCAAAAATGTCATCACAGAACCTTCTGGAACTCCTGCCCCTAAGGTTAACGTGCAGCCCCTCAACTCTGAAGAGCGTGTTTCCAGAGGTAGGAACGCAGATGGAGGTAAAAAACGAAATGAAGAGAGAAAGAAAGAGGGGCTCGAGGGGAAGAAAAGAAAGGAGAAAACCTTGAAGAACCACGTGGAGCGGGAGCAGAGCCTTCGAGGAGATGTGTTCTGTGAGTAATACTTCTGCTATTTTACACATTTTATGAAAAGTGAATTGTGATTTCTCCTGGCGAAAGAAGGAAAGCCGGCTTCACGCCTGAAAAACTAGGTTCAGTGCTGATTCCTAAGAAGCAGGTCCTCTGTAAGGTCTGGCAATGAACGGCCTCTGCAGATTTCCCAAATCATATTTGCTGCTCTGGGAAACAAGGAGGTTAAGTCCTTTCCCCTTCCCCGGGGGGCTTCCTGAGCGATGCCTCTTACTTGCCATGGCTGTCCATGCTTCACACCCTCAGACCTTCAGGAAGTAAGAAGGCCCGCTCGATGCTAGGGGAAATTCACAGTCGTGTGGTTACAGTTTAAAAAGCCAAAATGATGGTTGTAGGGAGGAACATTCTAGAGAGGAGCTTAAATTTTCTCCCTGAACTGGCTAACTGCCCTTTTCACCCGTTGCTGTGTGTGGGAACCCACCATAAGTCTCAACCTCTCCAGGATGGTTTCCATATGAACCCCGCCCGCCCCCCCCCCATCCTCACATGGAGACTTCGCGTTTTGTTTTCACCAGGCATTTGTTACTGCCCCTATTTTTCGCCTGGTCTGTCCTGGGCTCCATGGCTGTTGGATTTAACCACATGAAAAGTAGACCCAGACCTATCCAAGAACTAGCTTACCGATGAACATTATCTCCTTGAACAGAGAGCGAAAATTTTAAGGAAGTGTATTTCCAAACCCTAGTGAGAAGGGGCATGTTGCTAATATAGGTGCTTGGGTTCTAGACGTGGAAAGCGGAACCAGTGTGGATGCTTTGGGAATGTTAAGGAAACTCTCCTCTAACATATTCTGTAATCAGAGTGCATGATACAACTCTTCGTTCAGTCATTCATTCACACCATCTTAGCACGTTTTCGTAACTGACCAAGTGTTCTTCATTAGCCCCTAAGGTGAACGAAGCCAGTGAATTGGGTGTGGTTCTGGTCGAGAGAAAAGCTGTCACATCCAGACTGGACCTCAGAGGTAACTAATACCTTCTCCCAAGTGTATGCTCTTCCCCAGTGTCCCGTGTCGTTTTAATTTCTCCGGATGTCCTCTGGGAGGAAAAGAGAGCTGGGTATATATACACCGTCCATCTGACAAGGATTCAAGGCCGCTCCCAGGAGGGTGTTAATTCCCTGGCACTCCCGGCCTACCATAAAAGCAAGGAAGGACCCCACTGTGGTTCCTGGGCCTCCATCCCAGTTGGACCCTCTGCAGGACTGGAGAGAGTCTGGATTCCGGTCTGATTTCAGGTCCGTGTCCAATTCCCACCCTTAATGGTCTTACCCAAAGGTGAGGAAATTGAGGTGTCTGTCCACCAACTCCGCTGTCCTTCACCGGTTGAGGGCTTTCCTGGGGAAATAGCTTCCTGGTATTGTGGGGCCTGCCTGGCTCGATCCGAGCACGCCCCGGCAAGAGAATGCCCTCACACAGGGAAACAGCATTTCACAGATTATCCAGAAGGATCTGGCAAGGTCTGCACTAGTTTGTTTGGGTAGGAGAGATTTTCTGGCCCAGACTTTACAAACTCTTGTCTATATTCTCTATCTCACTTTGCTTATAGGGTTCTTGCCTATTACTTTTCTTCTTAATTTTTTTTTAAATGTTTATTTATTTCTAGGAGACAGAGAGAGAGACAGCGTGAGCAGGGGAGGGTCAGAGAGAGAGGGAGTCACAGACTCTGAAACAGGCTCCAGGCTCTGAGCTGGCAGTCAGCACAGAGCCCGACGCGGGGCTCGAACCCACGAACTGTGAGATCATGACCTAAGCGAAAGTCAGACGCTTAACCAACTAAGCCACCCAGGCACCCCTCTTTTTAATTTTTTTAAATGTTTAATTTTGAGAGAGAGAGTGTGCGTGCGCTCATGCAGGAGTGGGGGAGGGCCAGAGAGAGCAGGAGATACAGAATCCCAAGCAGGCTCCAGGCTCTGAGCTATGAGCACAGAGTCCGATGTGGGGCTCGAACCCAAGAGCTGCGAGATGATAACCGGAGCCGAGGTCAGCCGCTTAACCCACTGAGCCACCCAGGCTCCCCGACCATTATTTATTTTTTTCAAAAAAGGTTTTTGGTTTTGCTTTTACTATATTTAAGATAACAACAGAATTTGACCAGAATGCCTTCACAGATTTAAATCGAAGCAGTGTCTGGTTCGACACTGTCCTTAAGGCCATTTCAGTGGCCGCGATCTCCATGTACTCCATGCAGTTGTTACGATTTTGCGAAATTAGTATTTGTTACGTCGAGCCCCAGGGTGTCATGTGGCTCAACAAAAGCCCACAAGAGAAATTGAGAAGTTTCTCACAGATCCTGGTGGAGCTTGGCACGCCTCAAGGGCCACACAGGGAAGTTGAGGCAGGGTGCTTACAGAGAGAGGCAGGATCTAGGGCATAGGCCTTAATTAGCGTTTGTGGGTGGCGTGCTTTCGGGTTCCCGTTCAAACCAGAAGATCAGGGTCTTGGTGAGTTCCAAAGGAGTTTTATCTAAATGTACACGGGCTGTTTGGAAGTCACGCTAGAAACTTAAATCTACTTGTGACTCAGCAGGCTTCTCTGTGGGGCTTGCACCTGCATGAGGGGCCAAGGTCAGTTTTAGGCCCCCATCGGATGTTGGGCCAAACCAAATGGCTGCCGACACAGCAATACCACGGAGTAGCTTAGCCCAGTGCTCCGCAGCCAACGGAAAATACGGCATTGCCTTCCAAACCTCCAGATGTTAGGCGTGCTTCTGAGACTCCTCATTATGAAACGTACCCTTTTTCTTAGCAGATGTAAATATCTCAGTTGACTGCAGCTTTGACCACGGGGTCTGTGACTGGAAACAGGATATGGAAGATGACTTTGACTGGAACCCTGCCGATCGAGATAACGGTATTTGGGTTTTGCTGTTCCGTGTTCCGTGCTATGGCATAGGCAAAGAAGGCTCTCCAGTGATGGAGGGTTATTACTCCTATCTCTTTGTCACCTTTGGAAACTTCTAGACCTTCCGAGGTCTCCCCTGACGAATGGCTATGTTGGTTCAGGAGCTGGGTCCCGCCTTAGCCCTCTTACCCCCACCCACCCACACACAGGATGTTGCAGCAAAACTCTTGCATGGTCACCCCTGCTGCTGAGAGAGAGATGTTAGATGTCGTGAACATTTTTCTTTTAAGACTTAGAAAAACAAAATTTTAAGTACCCTCCATGGTCAACGTAGGGCTCAAACTCATGACCCCGAGATCACAAGCCACATGCCCTACTAACTGAGCCCGCCAGGGCCCTGGAATTCATGTACATTTTAAGAGTATTAGGGGAAGGGTAGAAAGAAGCTGTATTTTTCCCCCCAGTTTGGCGGCTAATGGTACTCTGTAGTTTTCATTTTGCTTTTCGTGGGGAAATAAATCTGGGAAGGAAATGGGACCTCTGCCTCAACTTGAAGTTTTAGTAAAGCCACCCCTCCAAGTAGCAACACCATGATGAGCATCTGGTCAGCACCCTGAACTTCTGGACTGAACGTTCCCCTCTGTCACTTGCAGATTCCTTACTGGTCACTTAAACTGGGATTTTTCTGGACTTCAGCTCTGAGCTGTGGAATTCCAGCCCTTTCCACTTCTTGCTTAAGCGCTATTGATGGGCACTCGCTTCCCCTGGGGTAGAGCATTTGGCTGACGCATCCCATTTGGAGCACAAATCGAATACCATCTCCTGAGGCTGACCCGTGTAGTTATTCACAACTCTGGAGACTCAAGTTTCTCACCAATCCATGTGTTTTTTTGGGATCTGCAAGTTCCACCCTCAGTTGCAAGATCCTTCCCCCCGACTAGTTCCTCCCTTAGATCATTCCTTTCAAGCCTTCACATTGCAACCAGGAGACCTGGACACCCCCTGACAAAACTTCCTTGTACGTCTTGAGATTAGAGGGGATACATCTCATGCGACACAACCAAGTTGTGTGAGTGGGACCATCGCCGAAGATTCAGGGTAGGTTCAACCGGTCCGGAGACTGTCGGAGAGCCTGTCTGGTCGAGAGCTAACTCGAATTTCTCCTTTCTTCCGTCATGACATTGCAAAGTTTATATCCGCCAGAGCCACATCACAGGGGGAGCCCGTAGATTTTTCCAGGATCTTGCCAGCCCACGCAGTCAGCAGAGTCTTCAGTTGGAGTTTTCCAGCGATGGGAGGCCCCCTGTTTAGAAAAGTGATTCACAAATGGCCTCAGGGTTCCCAGCCTTCGTGTCACTCAGATCACGCGTTGTTCCCTCTCGCGCCCCGTTCAGATCTCTAGATGGGCTCATCTTTCCCTATAGGGTTAAATATGAGAAAGAAACATGGGGTGAATCAGCATTTCCAGAAGGATAAAATCTCAAGGGCAGATCAAAATGGGCTTTAGGTGAGAGAGTAGGGAAATCTGCCCCAGTGGCTCCCAGAAGAGAGGGTGTCGCCGGTAGAGTGGCTAGATAAAGTGTTAGATGCCGAAATTTCAGACGAGCAGGTGAATACTTTTTAGTGTATCTTAAGACAGTTTGTTTATCTGAAATTCACGCTCTCCTGAGCATCCTGTCTCTTTGCTGAATCTGGCAACCTTAGCAGCTGCGGAAAAGACTAGTCTCTGAGTCCGGTGAAAACTAAGGCAAGGTCAACCTGGTTCTGTAAGTGACGCTGGGAATATACTAGCAGAAGACTCTGGGCCCCTACCCCTACCCCCAGTGCATTCCTCCTGGCTTCCATAGGAGTTCTTTGTTTCCGTCAACTTGTTCGGACCCCCATTCCCTGAGAATTTTTGCCCAAGTTCATCAGAGCCACAAGGAGAGGATTGAGGATGAGCCATGTCCACTACCACTGGGTAAAAGATACTTAGGGGGTGGATCTTGGAAATAGAAGGAGATGTGTTCCCGTCACCCTAAATCGGAACTCAGACTGTTACGTTACGAGCGGTAGTTGAGCTCCACGAAACCATGAGGACAAATTGATGTATGCTGTGGATTAAATACCATGCTACCTAAGGAGCCGGCCATCGTACATCTCATTGACTCTGTGGGAAAACGCAGTCCAAGGTTCAAACAACCAAGGTGGAAAGTTCTGGAACACGAGTTCCCCATCAGCTGCAAATTACCTGCAGTGCTAAAAGACTATTTCATGAGATTCTTACCCCATATCTGCTACCACCAAGCTTTGTGAATGTGGGCAAATTCCTCCATTTGTCTGACCTTCGCTTTCCCTTTCTGTACCACAAAGGATCTCAGCTCTGTGATCCCTAAAATCCATTTTAGCATGAAAATGCTCTTCCTGTGTTAGAAATGAAAGAGACTTCAGCTTTCCCTACAGGAGAGTATCCTTTTTTTTTTTTTTTGTATGGTTTTTGTAATTTTTTTTAATGTTTATTTATTTTTGAGACAGACAGAGCATGAGTGGGGGAGGGGCAGAGAGAGAGGGGAACACAGAATCCGAAGCAGGCTCCAGGCTCCGAGCTGTCAGCATAGAGTCCGATGCGGGGCTCGAACCCATGAACCACGAGATCATGACCTGAGCCCAAGTCAGACGCTCAACCGACTGAGCCACCCAGTTTTTTAAGATTTTGATTCCAGTTATCGGTCCTTTCCTGTGCTCTTTTATATCCTAGAACCAGACCCTTTACGATGGCCTTATTAACTGCGCATTTTTCTTCTCTCGAAGCTGTTGGCTACTATATGGCAGTTCCGGCCCTGACAGGCCGCAAGGACATCGGCCGCCTGAATCTCCTGCTCCCGGACCTGCAGCCGCAAAGCAACTTCTGTTTGCTCTTCGATTACCGGCTGGCCGGAGACAAAGTAGGGAAGCTTCGAGTGTTTGTGAAAAACAGTAACAACGTCCTGGCATGGGAGGAGACCAGGAGTAAGGACGAAAGGTGGAAGACTGGGAAAATTCAGCTGGAGCAAGGGAGCATCACTACCAAAAGTGTAAGTGGCAAACCAGGGTTAAATGAGATACCGACATTCTCTTGCCCCTAAGGACGAGTGAGGCTTTTCCCCTGTACTTAGAGACCTCTGTTTCTTTTCTGGTGCAAAATAGGCCAGGTGGTTAATCAGCGCAGTGAGTGGTAACACCTGGCGGGTGCGTGCGTCTCCCACATCGTGGAAATGATCTGTTTGTGTGTCTGGCTCCTCGTCAAGGCCCTCCCAGACCAGACCTTAATTTTATGTGTGTAACCGAATCTGTAGAAGAATGTCTTGCTCGTTCATTCTGTGCCCAGTGCTCATCACGATGAGGGGAAGCTAGAGGGTCATTTTTTACGTGTTTATTTTTTAATTTTATTTTTTTAATGTTCATTTGTTTTTGAGAGATAGAGTGTGAGTGGAGGAGGGGCAGAGAGAGGGAGACAGAATCCGAAGCAGGCTCCAGGCTCTGAGCTGGCAGCACAGAGCCCGACGTGGGGCTCGAACCCACAAACCGCAAGATCATGACCTGAGCCGAAGTCGGACGCTTAACCGACTGAGCCACCCAGGCTTCTGACTCTTGCTTTCGGCTCAGGTCACCATCTTATAGTTCACAAGTTCGAGCCCTGCATCAGGCTCCATGCTGACAGTGCCGAGCCTGCTTGGGATCCTGTCTCTCCCCCCATGTCTCTCTCTGCCTGCCTCTCTCTGTCTCTCTCGTGCACACACTCTCTCTGAAAATAAATAAATAAAACTTTTTTTAAAAAGCTGACCTATTTACAATGATGCCAAAAATAATAAAATACCTAGAAATAAGCTTAGCCAGAGGGAAAGACCTGAAAACTATAATACGTTGATAAAAGAAATGGAAGATGACACAAACAGATGGAAAGATACTCCATGTTCATGGATAGAGAAAGCAAATATTGTTAAAATGTCCAAACTACCCAAAGTAATCCACAGATTTAATGCACTTCTTACCAGAATACCAGCACCATTTTTCATAGAACTAGAACAAATACTCTTAAAATGTGTATGGAACCACAGAAGACCTCAAATAGCCAAAGCAATCTTGAGAAAGAAGAACAAAGCTGGAGGTATGATAATCCCAGATTTCAAGGTATACTGTGGCTGTACTAATCAAAACAGTATGATCCTGGCACAAAAATAGACACATAGATCAATAGAACAGAATAGAGAGCCCAGAAATAAGCCTACACTTACGTGGTCAATCTATGACAAAGGAGACCAGAATATACAGTGGAGAAAAGATAGTCTCTTAATGGTGTTGGTAGAAACTGGACAGCTACATGCAAAAGAATTAAACTGGAGGGGGGCACCTGGGTGGCTCAGTTGGTTAAGCACCTAACTCTTGGGTTCAGCTCAGGTCATGATCTCATGGTTTGTGAGATCAAGCACTGCGTCAGGCTCTGCACTGACCACGGAGATCCTGCTTAGGATTCTCTCTCTCCCTCTTTCTTTCTGCGTCTCTCTCTCTCTCTCCCTCCCTCCTTCCCTCCCTCCCTCCGTCTCTCTTTCTCTCTCTCTCCCTCTCTCTCTCTCTCACATACACACACACACAGTAAATAAATAGACTTTAAAAAAAAAAGGAATTAAACTGGACCACTTTCTTACACCATACACAAAAATAAATGCAAAGCGATCTAAAAACCTAAATGTGAGACATGAAACCTTTAAAGTCCTAGAAGAGAGCACAGGCAGTTATTTCTCTGACATTGGCCATAGCAAGGTTTTTCTAGCTGTGTCTCCTAAGGCAAAGGAAACAAAAGCAGATATATACTATTGGGACTACATCAAAATAAAAAGTTTCTGCACAGCAAAGGAAATAATAATCAATAAAAAGGTAAAAAAAACACCCTGCTGGATGGGAGAAGATATTTGCAAATGCCATCCAGTAAAGTGTTAGTATCCAAAATATATAACGGACTTCTACAACTCAACACCAAAAAACATATAATCCAATTTAAAAATAGGTAAAAGACATGGAAAGACATTTCTCCAAGAAGACCTACAGATGGCCAACGGACACATGAAAAGATGTTCAACATCACTCATCGGGGAGATGCAAATCCAAACCACAACGAGATATCACCTCACACCTGTCACGATGGCTAAAATGAAAAACACCAGAAAGAACAAGCGTTTGGGAGGATGCGGAGAGAAAGGCGCCTTTGTGCAGTGTTGGGGGGAAGGCAAACTGGTGCAGCCACTGTGGAAGACAGTGTGGCGGTTCCTGAAACAATTAAAAATGGGGCTACTATATGATCCAGTAATTCCACCACTGGCTCTTTACCCAAAGAAAACAAAAACACTAATTTGAAAAGATATGTGCATCCTAGGTTTATTGCAGGATTATTTATGATAGTCAAGATACGGAAGCAAGCCAGGTGTCCATCGGGAGATGAACGAACGGAAAAGATGTGGCATATTACTCAGCCGCACAAAGAATGAAACCTTGCCATCTGCAACGGCGTGGAAGGATCTAGAGGGAATAATGCTAAGTGAAATGAGTCAGTCTTAGACAAATACCACATGATTTCATTCATATGTGGAATTTAAGAATTAAAACAAGTGAACCAGAGAGAGAGAGAGAGAGAGAGGCAGAGAGGCAGAGGAGGAAAAGGAGAAGAAGGAGGGGGAGAGGGAAGACCCACAAAACACCTAGCTATAGAAAACAAACTGATGATTAACAGAGGGGTGGTGGGTACTTCATCATAATGATCCCTGAGTAATATATCGAATTGTTGAATCACGATCCTGTATACTTGAAAAATAACACTGTATGTTAACTATACTGGAATTCACATTTTTGAAAAAGTTGTAGTAATGGGGGAAAAACATCAACCAGCTATTACTTATTTTCATAGTATTTCTTTGTAAATATTTTTGGACGAATGAATATAAAATAGTAACTCTATCTTCAATTTTGTTTGATGAGTCACTTCTGTCATTTTTTGTCCAGTTTAAAGATAATTTTTTTAGTATTCATCCTTTGTTTTCTGTACGTTAGACACTTCTACAATATAAAGAAGTTTGCTTCTCTTTTGATTCTTGAGAGAGAAAAGGTATTTTATTTAATCTATTTTATCATAGATGAAAATGATTATAGCCTATTATCAAACATTTTTCAACACTTGAAAACAATGACATTCCCAATAATTCCCAATATTAAAGCCAATATTTTAAGAAAAATAACTGTACTACTAAAACTACCCAAATCTCCATATATCAAAATAAATCTTTTTTTTTAATTTTTTTGAGAGAGAGAGAGAACATAAGTAGGGGAGGGGCAGAGAGAGAGAGGGAAACACGGAGTCGGAAGCAGGCTCCAGGCTCTGAGTGATCAGCACAGAGCCCGATGCGGGGCTTGAACCCACAAACCATGAGATCATGACCTGAGCCGAAGTTGGACGCTCAACCGACTGAGCCACCCAGATGCCCCAAAATAATTCTCTTTCAACCGTATACTTTTACATTAGATGTTCGCAGGGAATATTAAATTTCTTCTCGCCTGGCTTCAGAAAAGAAAACCACATTATTCTTTTAATTTTGCTTTTTATTTTCTTTAAATGGGAATTCCAAAATTTCCTCCTCAACCTTACCCTTCTCAGCTCTTCAGGGCTGTCCAGATTCTTTGAGGTGATGCAGTGGCCCTGTTTTCTCTGACTATAATCCGCTCAGTGTAGATACTGGCATCTGGAAAACACTATGTATGCAATGTCAAAGCCGGTCCCTACGCAGTAGCGGCTGATGAGTTCAGTCCTCTTCTTAAGTAATCTCTGTGCCGAAGGTGGGGCTCGAACTCCCAACCCAAGACCGAAAGTCTCCTGCTCCACCGACTGAGTCAGCCAGGTTGCCGAGTTCAAGCCTCTTTAATACCTATTAAATAGGGTGAGCATATCACTGACTTGAAAGGTGAAAGTAATACTTTCTATCTTCTCCATTGTTAGATCATTTTTGAAGCAGAACGTGGCAAGGGCAAAGCCGGAGAAATTGCGCTGGACGGCGTCTTGCTGCTTTCAGGCTTATGTCCAGGTGGCCTGTTACCTGTGAACGGTTGAATGTGACCGTGGTCTTTTGTGTCTTTATATTTGGCTTTGGATGTCCATTCTCTGTCTTCTGGTATTACATCACAGATTCCCCCACTTTAGAAACACAAACTGAAAAACCATAATGTACCAACAGAAACATTGTCACACGCCTTTCTTGGATAAGAGGTGCCAGGAGTTGCTTTAGGTATAGCACCGCTGTGTTTCTGAAATGATTAAAAGAAAAAAACAGTAACAGAAACTACGGGGAATTGTTTCTTTGTTTCCCTTTTCTGGCCCGGCTTGGAAACTGTGACGTCACAGCTAGATTTTTTGTTTTTTACCTGAGTGGCTTAGCCTGCTGTTTTATAGCCAAGCTTGTATATTTCAAGTCTTTGTAATAATATTCAAATAATCACCTTGTGCCATGGTTTAAGTCTTCCTAAGTAAGAAAATAAGCTTTGGACGCTATGTTTTGTTACATGTATGATTATTTGCTTTCCTGGAAAATGTGGGTTTTATTGCTTTGTGTTGGAAATACTTTGCATTCTTACAAATTCATAAAATTACTTCCTCTTCTGGGAGCACATGACTGCTTTATTAGGCCTTGTACGTGCAGTGCAAATTAGCTTAAGTTGTGGAATGTAAGGCCTCGGAGAAATACCTGAAACGAAATCATGCCAATATCAGGAAACAGAAGAAAGACCAATGCCTTCTTTTCTCTGTTTCTCTTTTCTTCCAAATTCAGGAACAGCTTTGTGTGGTAATGAATCTTGAATTATTCCCCTGAGGATGAGTGTGTATTATGTTTTTCGACTCTAGGTCTTAAACAGGTGTAGGACATCTCCCAAACAGAATATTCCCCAGTATTCGTCACCCCCTAAAGCAACGAAGGCATCGAGCTGTAGGAGGAACGAAAGAGAGAAGATGGTCCACTTACTAATCTTTAATGTGTGTAACTTCACTCTTAAGGTTTTTTTTAATTTTTCATTTTAACGTTTATTGTATTTTTGAGAGAGAGACAGGGCACGAGCAGGAAGGAGCAGAGAGAGAGGGAGACACAGAATCTGAAACAGGCTCCAGGCTCCGAGCTGTCAGCACAGAGCCCGACACGGGGCTCGAACCCATGAACCACGAGATCATGACCTGAGATGAAGTCAGACGCTTAACCGACTGAGCCACCCAGGTGCCCCAAAGTTTTTTTAAAACGGAAACTTCTAGTAATCCTTTTTTTTTTTTTTCCAATTTAGTAATCCTTTCCCAACAGCTTTCTCTTTAATACAACCAACATATACAACTTTCTAAGATGGTAGGGAAAACCTTGTTTTCCTTTAGTGTGAAGTAAGTTTGGCGTACAGTCTCCAGGGGCTGTGGTTGTATCTGTTAGGATAACTGCTAGATACAAAGACCCCCAAAATAATGTTTCTACGTGAGACCAGATGAAGAGGTTTCTGGCTAAGTCAAATCAGCCTGCAGAATTGGGAGACATAATAAAATGACTCTTTTAAGACACTAAGATTTGGAGTGTTTCGTTACACAGCAGGAGTTAACCGAAGCAGGTGGTGTCTAATACTGTCGTAGAACTTGAAGAAGAACTCTCCCTGTTTCTTCAGTGACCAAGGAAATTGGAGAGCATAGTTATGGCTTAGCATAAAGGAAGATAGGAGGGAGAGCTTGCAATGAGAGACCATCGATAACCAGTGACCCAGGTTAAAGGAAGAGATGTTGACCCCGAAACGAAACAGGGAAGCCTGGGAATCATGTTCTCTACAGGGAGAGAATCATTGCACGAAGCCGAGTTAAGTCGAATTGAGTAATAACATTTCATGTCTCTGTAGCATCTGTAGCAGAGACTTCGACTTGCCTACCCAGTATCCATTTCCGAATTTTACCTTACAAGTTTAAGCATGTAAAATACAAAAATATGTTTATGTACAACCTCTCTTTCAGATGGGGAGCCTGCTGAAGTCACGGGGACGGGGGGGGGAGGGCTTCCGGGAAGGATCATTAAAGAGGGCTGGCAGTTGGCAGCCCCTGGTGCCCTCTCTCTTCCTCCTCCTTCCTTCCTTCCTGCAATGTGGTTGTGAGGGCAGGAGCTCTGCAAGCTCCCTTGTGACCATGAGGTCAAAGACCCTTCCCTACGGAGGAGCGCATATCCGGAAGCAGCCTGGCTCCCTGATGACCCTGTTGCACCTCTGTCCCTGGCCCAAACCAGTCACGGTTCAACATTTTATTACGTGAGAGAAAACCGAGCCCTCTCTTGGCCTATCTGGGATTTCACACCAAAGCACAGTCCAGACTCAGGTGACGACTCTTCCCTGAGCCCTGGGTGGGTGCCCTTGCCATCTCCACAACAAGACCATCGTCTGGGGGGGGACTAACTTTGTGGCCCCTTAAACAGCAAAATAAGGTGTTGAATTCCGGCCGGCAGGCTGTGGCGTCCTGGAGCGTAAGGTCCGATCAGTCAGCCACGATGCCTGTCCGTCGTGCCTGGCCACCACTCAGCACGAAACCCCCTTGTCACCCGCCCTGTCCCACCCTCGTCCCCACACTGTTCCGGGCCACTTCCTCTGGGTACGAACTGCCGCCGTGTCTGCCCTCTCCGCTGTCGCGCCGACCGTCCCCATCCTGCCCGCAGCCTCTCCCTGTCTCTCCCTACCTTAGCGGAACTGTGCTCTCTCCCGGGCTCCCCCTCCCCTTGCAGCCTCACCCAAGGAGACCCGGTCACCCCCTAGACACTCTGGCCAGCGCTCCCCAAAGCGCACGCTCTTGTCTCCCCCCCCCCGACAGCCACCACACAGAGCCCCAGCGCGGATCAGCCCGCAGCCTTTGCTCTCCGGTCACCAGGCTGCTAAGCAGTGTTCCACAGCGGGGCGCGTTGTGCTCGCCGCTTCCGCGGCAAAACCATGACCTTCGACCTCTCGCAGATCCCGAGTGCTGCCCAAATTACCTCTGAACGGTGCTTGCCTGTTTGCTTGCACAGACTGAGTAACATTCACCAGGCTGTCCACACCCTCCAGTCTCAGGGCTTCCTATGAACACATTGAAGTAACAATGGCGCCCGCCTCCATTTTTGCCTCCCCTCCGAGGCTGAATGTCCATGACTGACTAAAGCACAAGGTGACTTGAGAACACATCAGGGCCTCTGCCATAAGCAGGGAGGGGTGCTGAAGGACACTGGCGTCCTCTGCTCTGAGGGTTGAGAAAAGCCTCCTTGTGGCCAGGGAGGCCTCTCCTGTCCCCTCCCTTACAGACCTCCAGACACTTCGGATCCCACGCAGGAGGCCTGTCCCTTCCCTCGTCTGTGAGATGACACTTGGGACTTGGGGAACACCCAGACCCCTTCTGCTCAGGCATTGGATGCCTCTCCAAGACTACACCGGTCTTCAGCCCGGCCCCACGTAGCCTGCGTGTCTTATACTCTTCTTCTTTTTCTTTTTCTTTTTTTTTTTTTTGGGGGGGGGAGGCACATAATACTTGAGGGATGACTATGGAATTCCTGTACCTAAAGTTGTTTTCATTTTTTAAATAAAGTTTTAAAAATATTTTTAATGCCTATATATTTATTTTGCTGACAGCGTTGCCCGAAACACATTTAGAATCGCCCTTTCCAGGTAGAAAAGTCATGCAAGAGACTGTAGCAGCGCCTTCAGGTCACGTGTCACTAATGGCCGAAGACAGTCTTACTGACCCAGAATTCCACTCCTGGGTAGACACTCGGAAGCAACGCTCAGAAGCGCTATTTGTCCTCGTCGCAATGGGACAACTCAAATATCCGTAATGTCCCGTGTGGGTAGAATGGAAACATAAACTGTGGTATATTCGTCCGATGAAATATGACCGAGCGATGAGCATGCGTAAACCAACGCTGCCCCCAGCAACACAGCTGTATTTTTAAATATGGCATCGATCAAAAGAAACCAGAAAGTATACACCGTGTGACTCTGCTTACGAAAAGTTTCAAGGTCAGGCAGGATTACTCTATGCTCGAGACGTTGGGATCGGGTTTACCCTCCAAGGGGGTGCTGGTGGGGAGGGGGAGCGCAAGGGTTGGCCACGCTCACTTTATGAAGACCATTGAGAGGTACACTTAACGATCTGTGCCACGGCATTTCCACCTGTGTTGTACTTCAATAAAACTGTGCCTTAGCGAGTACAAGTGTTCCCTTCTCCCTCCCCGTCCACATGAACCTCCGCTATCTGTGCCAGTTGACTTGGGACACCTCCAGTGAATTCACCTCTCAATACCAGGCAGGCTGCAGCTGAAGTCCCACAGACCCATATGCAGTCCAGCCGCCAATGACCCTTACACTGGGGATGTCCCCTGGCTCGCCACCCAGGATGCCAGTGGACGCTGGACCCCAAGCTGGTTGCTGAAGGTAACGGCATTGGAGCTCTGAGGGGGTGAGGCCTGAGGAGATGTGCCTGCTGTTCAGAAAGCCAGGAAACCCTCACCTTCCTCACATCTGTTGCCTTTCTGGAGACCCGTAGAAGCTTCTACATCCCCCTTTCCCATTCCTGTCACTGGCCTTTTAAAATCGTTTTCCTCCTGGGTCCAAGCTGCAGTCACCCAGCCCTCCTGCTGAATGGGAGGCACTCGGGGCCCGCGTTCATTTTTCGGACCCTCCTCGGGGTGCTGGCAGCGCCCTCTTGTGGCAGCCGGCGTGATCCTGTGTGTGGCCGCCGCGAGGCAAACGGCAAAGCAGGGCTGCCTGCCGCCTCTCCTGCTTCCTCTTTGCTCCATTTCTCCCCTCCCCAGTGTCTTGTGAACTCGTGCCTCTTTCTGGATACCTAGAACCTTCCAATGTGGTTACCTCTGAGATCACGAAGAATCGAGTCTCGCAGACCCTGCATTCTTTCCCATTTCACCCCGATTTACTTGTCCCGTCCATGCTGCCGGTCTCTGCCAGGGCTTTAACACAAAGGAACGAGTATGGAGGTAGTTTCAGCATCATCTACTATCAGGTGGTAGATGGCCCTCAAATCTCACAGCTACATTAAGATGAGCGTGTCAGCCAGTGTTTGTTGGTAGCAAGGAACACAACCAGACCTCAGCTAACTTACAGCAAAGGGGGGTTCTGGTAAGGAGACAGGAGTGTGCGGGAGCGTGGGAAGACCAGCAACCCGACTTTGGAAACGGGCTGCAGGCCTGGAAGCAGAACTATGGAAAGGAGCCATTGCCGATCAGCACGCCCGCATTACCGGAATGATTTCTCACCATACTAGTCTCCCTATTCCTCTACTCAAGATTCACATTCCAGGGGCGCCTGGGTGGCTCACTTCTGGCCAAATGTGCCTCCCCTGAAGACTCAGAAGACCCGGAATAAACACGGTGATCCTCTATACTGTTGTGGGGGGTTTTAAAGTTTATTTATTTGGGGGGGAGAGCACAGGGAGGAGGGGAGAGAAAATCCCAAGCAAAGTCCACCCTGTCAGTGCAAAGCCCAATGCGGGGCTCGATCCCACGTACCATAAGATCATGACCTGAGCCGAAATCGAGTCAGACGCTTCCCCGCTTCCCGGGAGGCACCTGGGTGGCTCAGTCGGTTAAGCGTCCAAGCCGATATAGGGCTCGAACCCACAAAACATGAGATCGTGACCTGAGCCGAAGTCAGACGCTTAATCAAGTGAGCCACCCAGGTGCCCCAAGAGACCTCCCTTTAAATGAAAACACCTGAGAGCCAAAGGGAGGTGAGGCATTTCGTGGAGCAGTGCAAACATCGGGATCGGGATCGCTGACAGTGTGTTCCTTCTGGAAACAAGCCACAGTGACAGAATGAACTTCCAGGTGGTGGGCTCGGATTTCTTAGCAGAAATGCAAAAGGCAATTGAGCAGGCAAGCAGAGGTCTTTGCCTAGCGTTAGCATCCTCTCTTCCCATTTCTTTTTGTACCTTATCTATATTTTTCTGATTAAATGGAATTTTGAGACATCCCCAGTAACAGAGTAGGGTAAAATGTTTCATTGCCTCTGAACCATTTCCATCCTGTGATGTGATATGCACCAGCAAGTGACTGAGGCCTTCCTTGCCGGTCTTGCATTTGCCTGCTAATCTGTTGTCATAAATCTATGGTCGAATAATCCTAAAGAAATGAGCAAAATGGACAAATGGCGTGGAGAAGAGGAAGTGATATGGAAATGACCTACAGATAATGACAGGTGCAAGGGGATGTGAAATGAGACTTTTCTTGACGCAGAGTTTTGCCCACGGCCCCAAAGCTGAGCATCATGTTAAGGGCCCTCTGGACTCTAAAGAGACACGTAGACCATCTGCGCGGGGCTCCCTGAGTGGAGAGCCCAACACTACTTCTGCCACCCGTGGTCCGTCACTTGTCTTCAGCTTATGTATAGGAGAAGGCAAGAGTGGAAGAGAGCTATTAGAATTCCAGAAGCTTAGCTTAGTTTTTAAATTTCTTTTTTAGTTCTTAAAAACTTTTAAAAACGTTTATTTATTATTGAGAGAGAGAGAGAGAGAAAGAGAGAGCGCGCGCGAGTCGGGGAGGGGCAGAGAGAGAGAGAGAGGGAGACACAGAATCTGAAGCAGGTTCCAGGCTCTGAGCTGTCAGCACAGAGCCGGAGGCCGGGCTAGAACCCACAAACCATGAGATCATGACCTGGGCCGAAGTCAGACACCAACTGACTGAGCCACCCAGGCGCCCGCTTATCTTAGTTTTAGACGGTTAAAAAGCGCAGCCTAATCTAATATTGAAACTTCAAGCACTCATCCCATGCAAAGCTCTGGCCCTTCCTCGGCTCAAGTGTAACCTCTGCACCCTGCAAAGCCCCCCTTTTTTGCCAAGTAAGGTTGCATTCACAGGGTTCAGTGGTTAGGAGGTAGACATATCTATCTTGGGCGGGCGGGGCGCTGGGGCGGACATCATTCAGCCCACAACACTGATCAGATTGTTTCTTTATACCTGAAAGTGACTGGAAGAGCTGTAGGATTTGCTCAAACCTCAAGCTCCAGCCCAGGAGCAGACAAGGGGCAGGAGAGAGAGCGAACAGAGCTGGTTCCAAAGCAACGATTTCTTCTTATACCCTATGGAGCCCAGCCTACTCAATAAATCAGGTGTACGGGCGTCTCACTTCGTTCTTGTAATAGAAACAATCTTACAGCAATAGCCCTTTGAAACTAAAGTCTCTAGTTTTACCATCGCCCTGGCAGGGAAAGAATGTGTACAGGTGAGAAGTGCAGGCTACATATGGCTACTTTCATATCGACTGATGTATGCGAGGGGTGCAAGAAATACTTCTCGGATTAATTACTGCATTAAATAAATCACATGTTTGGCCAGAATTTTGTGAACGTTTAGCTGAGCAATGCCTTGAATGGAAGCAGAAGGCGTACTTTGTAGAGTAGTTCAACAAACTCTGCTGCTGAAAAACATCACTGGGGCAAGTTTCTTTCAGTCCAGGCCCTGCTACCTGACAGTCGGCCAGGCCATCTGCCACCCCGCAGCTGGCGGCGGGCGCGGCTTCACAGCCGCGGGTCACTGCGCAGGTGCCATTTACCTAGCGCGCAGGCGCCATTTACCTAGCGCGCAGGCGCCATTTACCTAGCGCGCAGGCGCCATTTACCTAGCGCGCAGGCGCCATTTACCTAGCGCGCAGGCGCTAGGGCCCGGGGGCAGCGTTCTCCAGTCTGCGGGCTTGGATTGGTTGAGCCTCGGTGGTCCCGCCCCGCGTGCCGGAAGCTCTCTCTGGACGCGCAGGGTCTCCGGAAGTTGACGCTCTCTCGGTGAGCAAAGCTCTAGGTTGACAGGGGTCTCTGCACCCCGGTGCGAGGAGAAGCAGTTGACTGCTCGGGGTGGGGGCGGGCCCCCGGCGCGTCCTGGGCCGGGTGGGGCCTATCGTGTTCTCTCCCCTCTTCTCCGCCCCCCCCCCCCCCGAAGTCGCCGGGGTGGGCAGATCTCTCAGGACCGCCGCCCCTTCTGTGCTGGGTGCCAGGCTGGCACCCCGGGACGGCTTGCAGCAGGCTTTGCTTGTCGCCCCGCTCCACCCCCCCGGAACCCGAACCCCGGCCACAGCGGGCCCGTGGGCTGGTCCCTTCCCCTCGCTGCACCTGTGCCAGGGGTCATGCTAACATGATCAAGGGCACTAGCGCAGTATGGGGCTGGGAAACTGCGACGCCCCTAGCGAACGTTTGGCATCAATTTTTTCCGTAGAGGAAGGGGCTCCCTGTGTATGTGGAGAGGTGTATGTGAGTTATGGCCAGAAACAAAAGTTTTCTTTAGTCTAAAGACCTAAGAAGAATTAAGTTACTGCTGACTTACCCACCGGCTTTTGAAAACTTGTCTTTAATCTCCCCTCTCCCCGGGGTTTAGGCCAGAAATAGGCAGATGTGTGCACCTTGCCCATATTAGTTACTATTTACAAGCTTTTATATGTACCTAGTCAACAGATATATAGGACCAACCCTTGGCCGGTCCTAAATATACTCCTTTTGATACGTATTCGGAAGCTGGGAGTATAGGTGTGTATGTGGGCATTATCCATGTTAGCATATGCTCTAGAACTGTTGTTTAGTATGGTAGTCACTAGCTACATAGGATAACGAGCACTTGAAATGCTCCTAGTCCTAATTGAGATGTGGTAATGTAAAACAGCGAATTTCGGGGAACTAGTATGGAAAAGAATTAAAATATCAATAACCTGTTTTTATCAATTGCATGTTGAAATGACAGCATTTTGGATACACTAGTTAGGTAAGTGTTATTAATTTCACCTGCTTATGTTTTAAGAAGTCTTTTTAATGTTTATTTTAGAGAGAGAGCATGAGCAGGGGAGGGGCAGAGAGAGAGAGAGAGAGAGACACAGAATCCCAAGCAGACTCCAGGCTGTGAGCTGTCAGCACAGAGCCCGATGCGGGGCTCGAACCCATAAACCGTGAGGTCATGACCTGAGCCGAAGTCAGAGGCTAACCACCTGAGCCCCCCAGGCGCCCCTCATCTGTTTATTTTTTTAAGTGGTTACTAGAAGATTTTAAATTAGATCCATGGCTTGCCTTCTATTTCTGTTGGACAGCAGTGCTTTAGAAAGGGGTCAGCAGACTGGCCCGCAGCTAAATCCAGCCATCCTGTCTTTGAAAAAAAACGTTTAGTGGAGCCGAGCCATACTCGTTGTTTTAGGTATTGTCTCTGGCTGCTGTCCGTGCTACGAGGTCAACGGAGTCAAGGAGTCGATACAGAGACTGGCTGGCCTGCACAGCCGAAAAGATTTCCTCCCTGGCCTTTTACAGAAAAAGCTTGCCGACCCCTTGCTCCAGAACAGTGCTTGCTATAGTAGATATGTGTCGTGTCAGCCTGTTAATTATGGTCCCATGTAGTTTTCAGTCAGGCTGACTGTGCGGCAGGCATGGTTCTAAGGACATGATAAGGGCTATGTCATTTATTTCCCGTATTAGTTGTAGGATGTGGGATTCCCTTGATTTTGTCGATGGGGAAATCGAGGCACAGAATGGTCAGGAAACATGCCGAACACTCCCCACACCCCTCACTTCTGTGAGCTGCACCTTCCTGAGCCTCCTTATCCCCAGATGCTCGATGCCTGAAGTCTTTTCGATTAGTCCCCGGTGGGCACCCTGCTGCCACCGCTTTTTTTCCCCTTAAGACGGCTTTTTGAACTGTCATTGAGCTGAAGTTGGTCTCATGTGTGGGTGAAGCTGAGAGGCACCGGGCTTGGGGGCTCGGGGGCACCTGCAAGCTGATGGATCGAATGAAACGCACAAGCAGGGAGGAGAGGGCGCAGCCGGGAGGCGCTTTTCTCATTGAACAGAAACCATATTTGTTGAGTAACAGTAAGCGCCGGCCAGGCGTGTCCCAGGCGTGTCCCAGGCGTTCTCCATGAAGGAAACGGACGTCATTCTCTTACGGTCCTGTGGAGAAGGCAGACAGTAAGTTTTCAGCGTGATATGCGCCATGAGAAGACGCTGCAGATATTTGCTGTTTTTCTAACAGGTCTCCACATCCGTAACACCTGTGTCGGGGTCGTCGTGGGGCCCGAGACGACATGCGCGTGTATGGCACTCAGAGTTGCCGCAGTGCCTTCTGCCGTTAAGAGGTAAGGGAGGGAGCGCGCACGGGCAGCCGGGTGCACCGGGGCACTTCAAACATCGCAACCGGCGGTTGTCATTTGTAGAGAAGGGTCTCGGCCGAGCTGCGCACGGCAAGTGTTTTAACACCTCCGCAGGGAAGACCCAAGACCAGAGAGGTTCTGTGCATCAGCCCAGGAACAGGACAGGAGCGGCCCTCGGGCTGACGGCAGCGTAACTGAGACGGTCCCACTGCAGGAGGGCCTTGTGCCCCTGTGCACGGAGCGGTGGTGACAGCTCTGGTTTAAATCAGAGCCCCCTGGACGGCTGGGAAAATACCCAGGCCTCCCCTCAGGGACCCCGATCCGTTATGTCTGGGACGCGGCCCTGGCACTGGCTTTGGTTTTGCTGTTTACTTTCTCCAGATGATTCGGGTGGAGAGTGAGGGCTGAGAGGCACTCACGGGGAGACTCCGGCGTGGGGGGGGGGGGGGGGGGGGCGACTGGAGCAAAGCGCAGAGCTGTGAGATGGGCGGTGCCTCTGCGCATGTCAACCAGGTCTCAGAGGAGGCGGCGCGGGGGCTTCTGACCGCCCGGGGACGCTGGGCACCGTCCTGAGGGCAGAGGGGAACCTCTGGGGGGCTCTGAATGGGAAAATGAGGCAATGTCTTGGAGAGATCTGTACTATTTCATTTCTGCGCCCCCCCCGTGCGGCCCAAACGCACGCCCCTGAGATCCGGAGTCTCCTGTTCTGCGGCGGGAGCCAGCCAGGCGCCCCTGTGATAGATATTTACAGATGAACTCTGTGCGGCTCTAAACCGGATCCACAGCTTGCTTTGTCTTCTTACGGCAGTTTTCTAAATTTGGTATCTCAGCTGCTTTCCCGGTATACGCTGTCCCACAGGGGGCAAAGTTTGAGAGGATTTAAATATGTTAAAAATATGGAGGAGTATGGCTGCTCCTGGAAATACTGAAAATAGAATTCCCATATGACCCAGCAATCGCCCTGGGTATTTATGCCAAAGCATTAAAAGCAGGGTCTTGAAGAGATCTTTCTACACCCATGTTCACAGCACCATTATTCACGCTGGCCGAAAGGGGCCAGCCAGCCCAAGGGGCCACTGGCATATGAATAGACACGTAAACTGTGCTTTATGCATATACTGGAATATTATTCAGTCTTTTTTTTTTTTTAATGTTTGTTATTTAGACAGAGCACGAGTAGGGGAGGGGCAGAGAGAGAGGGACACACAGAATCTGAAACAGGCTCCAGGCTCTGAGCTGTCAGCACAGAGCCGGACGCAGGGCCCGAACTCACAAACTGTGAGATCGTGACCTGAACCGAAGTCGGACGCCCAACCGACTGGGCCACCCAGGCTCCCCATGTTATCTAGTTTTCATAAGGTTCCATTGCAGGTGTAGACCACACGGGCCAGGACACGTGCTACAGTGCAGGTGACCCTTGAGGGCGTTATGGCAAATGGAAGGGGCCAGACACAAACGGCCAGATACTGTAGGGTTCCAGTTTAATGCGGCGTGCAGTCCCATTCGTGGGGACAGAAAAGAGGGTGACGGTTCCAAGGGCCATGGGGAGGGGGAGAGCAACGGGCGCTTGTTTAACGGGTACAGAGGTGGTTTGGCCGCAGAGAGTTCTGGACATTGGTTGCACAGCAGCGTGAACGCGCTTACCGTCACGTAGCCGTACCCTAACGTGGTAGGACTTAGGGTGGGTGTATTTTTTCATAATCAAAGATGAAAAAGAAGGAAGTGAGGAGCAGTAAATAAAAGGACATGTGAAATAAGGAGCACGGAGCTCACGCGTGAACTCGTTAACGTGTGTAGATTCACAGAAGTGAAGAAGTGCTGCTGGTTAGACAGACTGCCATTCTCCTCGCACTGGGGCCCCGAAGCTGCCGCCCCATGTCTCCGGCATCTCCTTGAGCCTCTGACCCTTGGCTGGGAAATCCTGACCCGGGTGAAACATCGCCCAGTCGCCACGTGGGCGCGCTCGCCCTGTCCCTTATTAACCGCCTTGCCGACACCAGCAGATATCAGTCCCGATTCCTTTGGTAGCGATGCGCATACAGTGAATGTGGAACGCAGGCCAGATGAGTGTCTTCTCTTCTGTCGGGCAGCTTCCCAGTACACCGGGGAGGAAGGTTCAAGCGTGTTCAGCAGTTTGAGCCCTTAGCATTATGACGGTGGCCGCCAGGCTTCCTCTAGGTCCCAGGAGCTCAGGCACACAGGTCGGAGAAATGTTCGCCAATTGAAGGCATGTAGTTTTTATTTTTCTGTTACCTTGCCTGTTCTTTGTTTACTGAGCCTTTTTCCTTTCTTTCTTCCTCTCTCCCTTTCTTTCAATGCAGAGAGAGAGAGAGAGATTGCATATGTGCACGAGGTGGGGAGGACAGAGAAACAGGGAGAGAGAGAATTCCAAAGAGGCTCCAGGCTGTCAGCGCCATCGGCGCAGAGCCCGACACAGTCCTGCATCCCACAAGCCGCTAGATCATGACCTGAGCCGAAATCAAGAGTGGAATGCTTAACCGCTTAACTGCTTAACCACTTAACCGACTGAGCCACCCAGGCACCCCAGTGAGCCTTTGAGTCTCAGGGAGGCCTCCTTCACTGTTTTCAGGGTTTAAAAATGGAATTTTCAAAAGGTAAAGCAATGATCTTGAAGTACGATTCCCCATAATGAGAAACATAGCCGCTTAAAAGCCTGAATTGCTGGCCCACTGAGTGTTAAATAAATTAAAAACAAAACAAAACAAAACACCCCACCCACGTTGCCCACATTCCAGCCCCCTCCTGGCAATCTCGGTCATTCTTGAGCTGGCCCAGCAGGGAAGACACCACTAGGAACCTCATAGTTGTGACCAAGGGCACTTAACCCTTCATGACTGAGGGACGATTCACCTAGCTCAGACTTGGGAATCGACTTCGCAGGAGACTGTAGCTTGTCGATCTGAAGGCAGAGCCATAGGCCACGTAGCCCCATATGACGCTCTGGTTCCCAGGGGAGGCAGAAGACCGATCTACCGACCGTGCCTGATGCAAACGTTGTAAATATATGTTCGCCATGAAATTATAGCGGCCTGATCACTTTTCTGGTTGTGAAAATAATACACATCATACAGAATACAGGAAGGAGTAAAAGAACGAACCCAAATCATCTAAAACCGTACTGTTTGGAAAATGTCTGTCTAAAGTTTTGTGTATTTATTTTCAGCCTTTTCACATGTGATTTTTTTTTTAATGTTTTATTTATTTCTAGGAGAGAGAGAGAGAGAGAGAGAGACAGCGTGAGCAGGGGAGTGTCAGAGAGAGAGGGAGTCACAGACTGAAACAGGCTCCAAGCTCTGAGCTGGCAGCCAGCGCAGAGCCCAACGCGGGGCTCGAACCCACGAACCGCGAGATCATGACCTAAGCGAAAGTCGGACGCTTAACCGACTAAGCCACCCAGGCGCCCCTCACATGTGATTTTTAAATGAAATTTGGATCAGACTCTATATGCTGTTTTGTTTTTTTTTTTTTTTTTT